TTCTTCAAGAACTATCAATGCTGTAAGCTCGTGTTTTTTAAAGAATATATTTTGAAGGCATATCAAGACTGAAATTTTTTTTTTTATTTTGTAATAAAGAACATTTTTCAAGGACTGTAATCAGGGATTTTTAAAAGAAAAAAATAAGGAAGGAAATATCAGAGCTTTAATAATATTTTTTCAAGGCCTATCAAGGATGTAATCCTGGATTTTTAAAGAAAACAAATTAAGGACAATCAGGACTATAAGCTTTGATTTTGTAAAGAATATTTTTAAGCTTTAATTTTATAAAAAAAAATATTTTTAAGAAATATCAAGGCTATAAGTGTTGATTTTTAAAGAATAATTTTTAAATCCAACTTTTTAATGAATATTTTTTTTTTCAAAGGCTATCAAAATATTTTTTAAGGCTATGAAGGCTGTATGTGTGAATTTTTAAGGACTTAAGAACTTAAGAATTTTTAGATAAAATTAAAGGACTATCCAGATAGAATCGTGCATTGTTTAGAGAATATTTCTTAAGGACTGAGTATTATTTTTTTTAAGACTAACAGGCGTAATTTTTCCAAGGACTATGAAGACATTAACGATTAATTTTTAAAAATATTTATAGAAGGAATATCTGATATTTAAACCTAAAGTTTTAGGGTTTATTTTTGGATTTTATTATCACGATTTTAGGAGTCGATTTGTAAGGATTATTTTTGGAAGTGCTATCAGGAATTGATTTTTTGAAGAATTTTGTATCCTATACTTATTTATTTACTTATTCCATTCGGTCAATAAACGTTGATTTTAATAATTACTTGTAAACGGTCCGAACTTGAAGTATTCATTTTTAAGGTATATTTCTAGAAGGGCTCTCAAATATAAGAGCGTGGCTTAAAAAAAAATAATTATAAAAATTACTATTAGGGCTTTAAAGCGAGATTTTAGGGAATTTTGAACAGATCTGCACTTGGATTTTTAAGGAATATTTTTGGACCAACTATAAGCTTTAATTATTAGCGGAATATTTTTTAAAGGCTACCAGGAAGTAAAATTAAGGAATATTTTCGGAAAGACTATCAAGACCTTAATTATTATTATTATTAAAATAAGATTTTTTAAGGAACATCTGATCACATAGACAAACCGGTTGCAATGTCTCATGATAAACACAGCGTAGGGCATATGTCCTAGTATGTCTATAGAAACAGAAATATCTAGTGCTATTTAATCCCAACACATCTGTGCACAAAAGTATTGTTTTTATTTCGTTAGCCTTTGCCTCAGAGCTATTACTGAATGACGAAAATAGAAACAACAAGAAAAATATTGAATTTCCATAAAAACACCACACTCACACATAATTGGAAGTGTACTTGATATTTTGCATATGCCGCCTTCCAACTAAATACACATTTCTACTTTAATATTCGATAAGCCAAGGCGGGAGAAAACAAAAAAATTCCCCCTTCGAAACCACAGAATTCCTACTTAAATACAAAAACACGTTATTGTAAAAACGAACAAAAAGTAACAACAAAAACATAAATATTTCAAGTTTCTTAAAAAGAGGAAAGAAAAAATAACGACCAACTGACCGACAGTCTATGAAAAATACACCGATATAACGCAGACAAATAGCGCCACAATTTGTTTTAACTTTTCTTCTCTTTGTTTTTTTGTAATTTGTCTGAATTTATTTGAATTAACATTTTAAATTTCATGTAATTTCTTTGCTTTGCATGCATGCATATACATTTTTTGCCAGTGAGTCTGTCTGTCTGCCGGTCTGTTTGTCTGCAGCTTCAGCACGTTTTTTTTTTTGTAATCTGTAAAAGATAAGGCGAATAAGAGAGTCTCGACTTTTATTTTTGCAAAGATTAGCATCTCAATAAGAATCTGTTTGCCAAGTTGCTGGCACAGTGCTGCAAATTAAGAAAATTTTAAACAAATAGGAAATTCCTTTAAGAAAATATATATTAAAAATCAGATATATTGAAAATATTAATTACAAATCCACGCCTATTGGTGTCAAGGTCCTTCAGAAAATATACATTACAAATCTACGCCTATTGCGGTTAAGGTCCTTGAGAAGATATTTATTACAAATCCATGCCTAATGATCCCTGAGAAAATATTTATTAAAAAAACCATACCTATTGGTGTCAAGGTCCTTAACAAATTTTTCATTACAAATCTACGTCTACTGGGGTAAAGGTCCTTCAGAAAATATTCATTACAAATCCACGCCTATTGGGGTAAAGGTCCTTAAGAAAATATATATAATAAATCCACGCTTATTAGTGTCAAGATCCATGGGAAAATATTCATTGCAAACGCGCCTCTTTTAGGGTCAATGTCCTTTAGAAAATATCCATTACAAATCCATGTCTATTGGGGTAAAAGTCCTTGAGAAAATATTTATTAAAAATCCACGCCTAATTGTGCCAAATATTATTTACAAATGCACTCCTATTGGGGTCAAGGTCCTTCAGAATATATTCATTACAAATCCACGCCTATTGGAGTAAAGGTCCTTCAGAATATATTCATTACAAATCCACGCCTATTGGAGTAAATGTCCTTCAGAATATATTCATTACAAATCCACGCCTATTGGAGTAAAGGTCCTTCAGAATATATTCATTACAAATCCACGCCTATTGGAGTAAAGGTCCTTGAGAAAATATTTATTAAAAATCCACGCCTATTGGAGTAAAGGTCCTTGAGAAAATATTTATTAAAAATCCACGCCTATTGGAGTAAAGGTCCTTGAGAAAATATTTATTTAAAATCCACGCCTATTGGAGTAAAGGTCCTTGAGAAAATATTTATTAAAAATCCACGCCTATTGGAGTAAAGGTCCTTGAGAAAATATTTATTAAAAATCCACGCCTATTGGAGTAAAGGTCCTTGAGAAAATATATATTAAAAATCCACGCCTATTGGAGTAAAGGCCCTTGAGAAAATATATATTAAAAATCCACGCCTATTGGGGTCAAGGTCCTTGAGAAAATATATATTAAAAATCCACGCCTATTGGGGTCAAGGTCCTTGAGAAAAAATTTATTAAAAATCCACGCCTATTGGAGTAAAGGTCCTTGAGAAAATATTTATTAAAAATCCACGCCTATTGGAGTAAAGGTCCTTGAGAAAATATTTATTAAAAATCCACGCCTGTTGGGGTCAAGGTCCTTGAGAAAATATTTATTAAAAATCCACGCCTATTGGTGTAAAGGTCCTTGAGAAAATATTTATTAAAAATCCACGCCCATTGGAGTAAAGGTCCTTGAGAAAATATTTATTAAAAATCCACGCCTATTAGTGTCAAGGTCCTTGAGAATAAATTCATTTCAAAGGCGTCCCTTTTGGGATCAAGGTGCTTTAAAAAATATCCTTTACAAATCCACGTTTATTGGGGTAAAGTCCTTAAGAAAATATTTATTAAAAATGCACGCCTATTTGTACCAAAGTCCTTTAGAAAATAATCATTACAAGTCCACGCCTATTTGGGTCAAGGTGCTTGAGAAAATATCCAATACAAATCCACGCCTATTGGGGTTAAAGTCCTTGAAAAAATATTTATTAAAAATCCAAGACTATTGGTGTAAAGGTAAAGATGACAAAATATATACCTTGGGATTCATTAAAAATATTCCTAAAAAAATCCAAAAATATTCGCATTATTAAATTTAATTTTTTAAAATATATTTTCTTATTTTCCAAACACTGTGCTATTAGCTATATAGTCGCCTATTTAGTTACAGAATATTGCAACGACGCATTTTTAGGGCCGCTACCTACAATCACCCTCCTCACCCACATTGGAGATAAACGTTAGAATAGAATGAATGTATGTCTGTATGTATGTGTGTGATATAAACAAACAAATCGCCGATCGACCGACCGCAGACGGTATTGAGTAGAAATTTTGCACTTTACACAGGCGGTTGACTCACAGACCTCTATAAGTGCGGTCGGGGGGAAACACAAACGGGGTTATATCGCTAACAGTGACAGAGAAAAACGCGCAGGCATGCTAAGTGTGACGATGTGACTAACTGGCTGGCTTGCTGGCTGGCTGGCTATAGACAAGTTCTCGTGAAGAGAATTTGCTCATTCTACGGGATTCACTCGTTGCAGACGGATGTTCAACGGATTACAAACGAAACGTTACGCGATATACGCTTGAACTTTTGACAAAAATATATAAATATAAAAAATATATACCAAACTCGGATTTTTTTGAATTGTGATTAAATGTTTGAATGTGTGTGTGTGTGTTTTTTTAAGAATAAATAATAAATATATTTTTGTTATTCGAATTAAAAAATGCAATTAAATTAATAAACTTAAAAAAAACAGAATTTTATTTTTTAATAAAATATACAAGGCATTTGGAATTTTTGTTTAATATTTGTAGTTAGAGTTTCAAAAATAATAATAATAAATTAAAGCAATCACATTGCGGTGTTTTACAAGTCCTAACCTATTTTTCTTATTTCTCTTTTTTCCCTCCTGTCTGCCAATAGAATTACTACAGCAACAACAAAACTCAATTGAAAAAAAAAATAAATAAAAGTGACAAAAAAACAAACCCGAAATAAATTAAAAATACATTTTAAACAAACAGCCAGAGAAAGTGAAAAAAAGTTGAAAACTTTTTAAGTGAAGAAAGGAAGAAGCTAAAGATAAACAAAAGAGAAGAAATATAAAAGGAAATATTCTAAAACGACTGACTCCACAAAGAAAAAATAAACAGAAATTTCTAAAGTTCTACTGCATTAAAGCATATAATGGCCCCAATAATTGCTGACAATACAATTGAATCAGGATGTGAATTTGTTGTTGATAATTCCAACGCCGTCACCATCGACTCTACCACCACCATTAATGACAGTTATTTTAGTGAAGCTAACGTAGAATCATCATCGCTTGCAAACGACGAAAGTAACGTAGCAGAAGCTGACGAAGAAGAAGAAGTATTGAATGTGTCCAGTGATTGTGAAGTGATTTCCCAGAATGTTGAAAATGATGAATGCCAACAACAACAACAAAAGGAACGCATGCCATGGGAGGCACCTGGCAAGCAGGGATTATATGATCCACAGAATGAACATGAAGCCTGCGGTGTTGGCTTCATTGTGGCCATCGATGGTAAACGGTCTCACAAGGTAAGTTATTGGAATTATTTTGGGGTTTTTTCCTGCAATTTTTTTAGAAAAAAGAAGAAAATACACCAGAAAAAAATATTTTTTACAATTATTCATCAAAAATAATCCTTTTTTATCTGTGCATATTTTTAATGTTTATTTTATTATTGTTCAATAATTTCCAATTATAGTAGTTTTTGTTAAAAATCCGTGCGCATTGGTGTTAAGGTCCTTAGAAAGTATTCATTAAAAATCCATACCAAATGGTGTAAAGGGCATTGAAAAAATGTTTATTACAATTCCACGCCTATTGGAGTTAAGGTCCTTGAGAAAATATTTATTAAAAATCCACTCCTACTGGGATCCAGGTCCTCGAAAAAATATTTATTTAAAATCCACACCTTTTGGGGTTAAGGTCCTTGAGAAAATATTCATTACAAATCTACTCCTATTGGGGTTCAGGTCCTTGAGAAAATATTTATTACAATTCCACGCCTATTGGGGTTAAGGTCCTTGAGAAAATGTTCATTACAAATTCACGCCTATTGATGTAAAGATATTTGAGAAAATATTTATTACAAATCCACTCCTTTGAGAAAATATTTATTAAAAAATCCACACCTATTGGGGTCAAAGTCCTTCAGAAAAAAAATATTACAAATCCACGCCTATTGGGGTTAAAGTCCTTGAGAAAATGTTCATTACAAATTCACGCCTATTGGGGTAAATATATTTGAGAAAATATTTATAACAAATCCACTCCTTTGAGAAAATATTTATAAAAAATCCACACCTATTGGGGCCAAGGTCCTTCAGAAAAAATTTATTAAAAATCCACGCCTATTGGGATTTAGGTCCTTGAGAAAATATTTATTAAAAATCCACTCCTATTGGTGTCAAGGTCCTTGAGAAATATTCATGCCTATTGGGGTAAAGGTCCTTGAGAAAATCTTCATTACAATGCTACGCCTATTGGGGTAAAGATCCTTGAGAAAATATTTATTAAAAACCCACAGCTAATGGTGTCAAGGTCCTTGTGAAATATTCATTAAAAATTCATTACAATGCTAAGCCAATGGACATCGAGGCCATGAAATAAAAGCCTATTTTGGTGAAGTTCTTTAAAAAAATAGTTATTAAAAATCCACACCAATTGTGGTAAATGTCCTTGGGAAATATTAATAGAAAATTCACACCTATAGGTGTAAAGGTCCTTGAGACATATGAATTAAATTCCACGTCTTATCGTGTAAAGGTCCTTGAAAAATATTCGTTAAAATTCCACACCTTATGGTGTAAAAGTTTGTAAAAGTTTACAGTTTATTGTGGGGAACGTCATTAAGATAATATTATTGGGAAGATTAAAATTGTTTAGAAAATCTCAAGACCCTTGATAACGCAATACAAGCTTATTGTTATGAACGCCCATAAGAAAATATTGTTGGAAAGGTCCGTAATATTTTTGGGAATATGTTTGAAGAAAATATTCTTAAAAATACACAAGTATTGTTCTGACTGAAATATTCATTAACATTTAAGCTCACCGTTAAAAATTTAAACACTCTGGTAAATATTGTGATGGGCTTGAAAGACACATCATAGACTTATAAATACTTAATTTCAATTTTAATTGTATTTAATAAAGTTAAGTTCAGTCCTTATATACCCTAAAATATATATTCTTAAAAAAAACTATTTTAAAAAATTTTTTTTAAAAATTGACTTTTGTAAATTTAGAAGATTTCAATAAAATAAAATGATGATTATTCCGGATAAAGTATTTTTTTAAATATGTGCCTTTAAATTTTAAGCAGACCAAACATCCGTAAAAATCCGCACTAATAAATCTGATGAATTTGGAAAATATATTGTTAAAGTATTCTTAAACCTACGCCCTGAACATTCCTTCTTTAAAATTGCACACATTGGAAAAAGTAGGAATAGGAAAACTCTAATAGACCCTGAAAATATTTTTCTAAAAATCCATCACTATAGCTCCGTTCTGGCAAAACCGGATTATATATCTTGTAGAAATTAAATTCCTTAATCAAACTCTATACATCTAGCTTTACTAGTCGACATCTAAATAATCTTGATAATAATTTAACAAAAATATGGCTATAAAATATCCCAAGAAAATTATCAAAAAAAATACCCCTCCAGAATTCAGATAATTCTTAAAATTCCACATATTTCGTTGCAATGTAAAAATCGACATTGCTTTTTTGGTATGTGAACGTGATATTTAGGAGATTTATTTGAACGAGACAACAATTGAACTAACCATACTACTGTCGACCAGTTTTTTTTTTGTTCTTAACAGCATATAACCGTTAAAAGTGTAATTCAAATACGGCAATGAATTAAACAATTTTAGTATGAATCGAAAAACTGGTTATTTGTCTGGTGAAATAAACCACACAATTGTGGTATGCAATGTATTTGTGGATTTGAATTTGTTTTGTGTTGTCCTAGCATTTTCAATGATTTATCCTGTAAATTTTACGACAAATTAAAATTGAAAATTAAAAATATATAGGAAATTATATTAAATTTTAAACTTTAGTAAAATTAGAATTAAACAAAAAAGGCTGAATAGCACCTTGAAGAAATTTGTTCATATGGGAACCCATTTTCGTTTTTAAGATTTCAAAACTACATATTTTTTTCAATATTGTTTTTATATCGGAGGATACATTGGCGTCACTGCCAGTCAGAACTTTTAACAATCATATTACCTTATAATGCCCTCAGGTTATTATTCACGTAGATGAAATAAATTACATAAAAATTATTTAAATTACCGAATTTAAAGCAAATAAAACCCTGACTTGTTTCAACTTTAACATCGAACATTTAGCATTAACATTGAATTTTTCTGTCCTAGAAATGATTTAGAATCTGACATTTGTCATTTCTTTTTATCTCATATGGATGGTATCTATTAGACAAAGATCCGAAGACTGGCGAATCGTTCGTAGCAGTTTGATGACAAGTAAAAACGTCGTTATGTTCGGCTGCATTGTGGCTATGTCAAAGCATAGTCTAAAGGCTTGGCAGATATCTCCTGAAGACTGAAATCTTCAGTGTTATTTTCATTCCTTTTAAACGTTCAAGCCCCGATTTTGTCGTCGAATATGCTTCTGGGATATATTCCTGCCTTCTGAGGTCAGAATATATATCTTATGTTAAAAAATATCTTCTACAGGAATTCTATATCCAGGATTTCTTTTAAACCCAATCATGGCCCATGTAGCTATTTTCTACAGCCGTAATACCTTATTGAGGTATTCTACTTTCTAGGAGTCTAATATAAAAAAAGGAAATGTCTTTCCCGAATATATTACAAATGTCTTCCATAGCCTAAATACCATCTACGGACTTTCAAAAATCGTTCTATACTGAAATGAAATGACTATATAACCTTTCAATATCCTGCTATTGTCATAAGTTATTCTAGTGAACGTCTGTATACGATAAATCGTTCTCCTAGAGCCAGACCACATTCCAGAGGTATTCACCTATCTCCTGATGTCAGAACATGTACCTTAAATTGAGAATATATTCTGCAGGTATTCTCTATTCAGGATATCTTATAAAACCAAACCAGGATAATGTAGGTGTCTTCTATAGCCGTAATACGTTATAGAGATTTTCTAGCTTCTAGGAGTTAAATATTATCGGAAGAATATCTAGAGGTCCTATATTTTCAGAATATCTACGATATAACTTTTATAGCCCGAAAACATTCTCGACACTATGTCACAAATGGAAAAAAAGACAGGCACCTTAAATCCAAAATAGTTTTTGCTAAGAAAAATGCGAATGCCAAATTGCAGTCACAGGTCTTAAAACATGGGCCTATATTGACAATTTTCTGCGGTCAAATAACTTGCACTTCTATTGGAAAATGCGATTGAAACTTTGAAAATACCAAAAAATGCGCTGCATTATATGAGGGCGAAACCAAACCCATTTAAAATACCAAACATTCTGGAAAGGGTAGCAATGATACATATAATTTTGTGTAGAAAACTATTTTTTTTGGAGCATTATAAAGTAGAGTGTAAGGTTATATAGCGACTTTTTACAGAGTTTACCTACCAAATGTAGATCATGTTCAAAGATAAAAATATCGAAACACTTTTATATAGAATACATTCCAATCTTTTAAAATTATATATCCATCATCCAAATAATTCAATTATAATATATTTGCAAAATATGTGCACAATGTTCGAATATATCAGGAAAAATATATTCCCACATTCTCATCGAATCTCTTGAATCCAAATATTTATATAGAGTATACAATTTAATATTATCAATATTTCAACAATTTTACTTATCTGCATTTTTTTTTTCTTTTTATTATTTGCAGATTCTTCGTGATGCCCAGACCCTGTCAGAACGGATGAATCATCGTGGTGCTTGCGCCTGTGACAATGACACTGGCGATGGTGCTGGTGTTATGGCTTCTATTCCCCATGATTTGTATGCCAAAGCATTGTAAGTAACAATCCTTCATTGAAAATTCAAAATTTATTGATCAAACTTTAGTTCGGTGAATTTTTTTGAAATACAAACACAATTAAATTGTTGAATATCAGACAAACATTTGTAGAAAATATTGCGTCACAAAAATATTGAATTTGGCTCACTATCGTGGGTTTTTATGACAGCTATGTACGTGAAATGTGATTTTTTTTTTTGTTTTTTGGCAATGCATTGGCAGCTATCCAAATTGAAAAGTCAAAATACTAGAGTGTTTTAAATAGTTTTTGTTGTGATTGTTGTTGTTTTTGTTAAACATATATTGAAAGCAAAGCAAATAGTTTCCATTGAACCACGAATAATGAATGGGGAAAAGGCTAGAGTATTTTTTTTTTATTTTCGTTTTGCCAAGAATTTTCACATTCGGCTTTTGTTTTTAACATTTCCCCAGTAAATATGTATATTTAAAAAAATGTTTAGCATCTGTCACAATTTTGCAAATAAAAATGTATTTAATTCAAATGATGTATTTAAACAATCGTATCAGAAGACTATTATCCATCCGTATTAATTCATATTTTATTTTCTAAGGGGAAATGTATTTCTCTAAATAACCCTATAATAACTTCTAGAGATCTTTTAACCTCAGCCAGACCTTTTCAGTTTTTTTTTAAAAGTCAAGAAAAAACTGTTCTTGGTGCCTTCTTGAGGTATTTTATAGCCATAATATATTCTGTAAGTTATTAATATCATAAAGGTCTTCTATATGTATTTTACTTCAATAGTCCTTCAATACGGGGTTTTATCCATGCCTTCAATAATAATGATAATATTTTTATGAAATATTCTATTGACTGTTAGAGGTATTATTAATCCCGCAAACTTCAAAATCCCTTATATGCCCTTATAACGGTCCCAAGGGCCTTATGTTTCCTTGGGACCTTTAAAATCACCGAAAAAATATATAAAATTTTTCTCCACTCGGAAGTGCAAAGTAGAAAACTTAATGTTCTTTGAATTTCCAGAATAACTTGTAGAAAATTGTATAAATGTCCTCTATAGCTATATGCCTAGAGCCCTTCTATGAACAAAATGTAATTTATATCAACAATATATTGTAGTAGTCTTTTAGAAGTTCTCCGAGAGATATTTTATTCTAACAGAAGTCCTTGTATTGAACTGACTCAAAAAAAAACTTCTAAAGATATATGTATCTTCGATATGAATATAGAAAGCTATATAAATATCATCGAGAAGAATCCTTCCACAGAAGACCTAACAGAGATTTTCTATAGCCAGAAATCCTACACCTACAAGGATTACTGGCTATAAAAAATCTCTCTCTTCTTCTTCTTCTCGATGATATTATTCTATAACTAGTCGATGGAGAGAATATATTTTAAATTAAGAAAATAATTTCTTTACTAATTTTGCCATGCCTGACTTGGAGAATAGAGCATAATTTTTGGTATTTACTCCCTTCATGTACATATGTTTTTAACATGCAAAAGGAAACGACGTAGACACAGGGTTCCTTTTGAGAATATGCATTGAATCACTTTCTGACTCGATTTATGTATGTCTGTCCGTCTGTTAAATTTTAAACAAAGTGCAGGTCGCATTTATGATCCGATTTGGATGAAATTTGGCACAGCTCATTTATTTGGCCCAAGGACGAGCACTATTGAAATTTGGAAAAATCGGTTCAGATTTAGTTGTAGCTGCCATATATATTTTCGTCCGATATAGGCACCAATGTCCCTAAATATCTTCCGATTTGCACGAAATTTGGCATAGCGTACTGGTTTATGTCTAGAATGATTCGTGAAAATCGGTTCATATTTAGATCATCTGATTTTATGTAAATTATGCACTAAAGTCTGATTTGTACGAAATTTTCATAGGGTACTGAATTAGCTCCTATATATATTTTCGTCCTATTTAAGGAAAATGGACCGCCAAAATCCCCATATATCTTTCGATTTGCATGAAATTTGGCATAGCGTACTGAATTGAGTCTTTAATGATGTATGCTACGTCCGATTTTGTGTAAATGGTGCACCAATGTCACTTTATATCTGTCGATTTGCAAGCAATTTGGTATAGCGCATTGAATTGAGTATAGAATTACATATGTTAAGTTTCGTAAAAATCGGTTCAGATTTAGATATAGCTCCCATATAGATTTTCGTCCGATTTAATGTAAATGGTCTACCAAAGCCCCTATATATTTTTCGATTTTCACGAAATTTTGCATGGCGTACTGAATTAAGTCTAGAATGATGATGAACCTGAAAATCGGTTCAGATTTTGATATAGCTCACATATATATTTTCCTCCGATTTTAGGTGCACCAAACTCCTAATGTTTGTCGGATTGACACGAAATTTTGCACAACGTACCACATATTATTCGAACGGATGACTGATTGAGACTATATTTTTAACAGTGCGGCATACAGAGTAGCGTGCATCAAGTTTGCTATAAATCGATTTCCATAAATTTTTCCCATTGTACGCAAACGATTCTTAATCTGCCCGATTGAAATTAAATTTAGCACAGGTTGCAGAAAGGTGTATGTACTTCGAGGGAACATTAAAATGAAATTGTTAGGATACATATGTACAATACACATAAAGTGGTGAAGGATATCATATAGTCGGCTTTAGTACTTTCCTTACTGGCTTTTACTGTGGTGTCTGTAAATTGACAATCCGATTCTTGAATTGTAAAAAAATACTTTACAAGCGCCCTCTATTATCGCTCCGCCGTATTTATAGCTATTTCGAACATTATCAATATGGAACATCATTTGGCATAGACCCCAAAAACGACCACTTTGGCTATAATTAGACATTTCTGGTATTCAGGGAATAAGACCTCTTGTCACATATATAACATTTTAATACTCCTCTATATACATAAAATGGTGATACCATTTTAGTATTTCCAGGTTGCCCATAATATGATATGTAGGTTTGTTAATGAATAAGAAACCTGCAGAGCCATTTTTAAACATAGACCTCATATAAGAGTCTTCCAGATTTCAGTATTTTTCTGTGCCAGAATCAATTAAAATATAATTTTTGGTGTGACCGTTATCGAAGAGGACTTCTTCTATAGGTTTTTTGTCTTTATGGTCCTCTGGAGGCTTCCCACATTTAGAATTACTTTTTTAAAGACTTCTTAGTCACTTTTCAATTTATAAAATACGTTTTGAAATAACTTATGAAAAGTACTTTTTTTATAAGAATATTTGAACAATCCCTTCCATTCATCCATATAAACATTTAAATATTTGGCAATTAGTACCACATAAATATGTCATTTGTTGACTAATTATTGAATAAAAATACACACAGATACCGTCGGACTAATTAGACTTTAGAAGTAAATTGCAAAATTTCTACAAAAAATAAAAAAAAAACAACTTTGATGACAACAACGCAATAATTTATCCATTTGTAATGGATGTATTCGAGAGAATGTTTACAACAACAACAACGACAACAGCTGTAACATGAATGTGACTTACTTGTCTAATTAGAACTTTAGCTACTTGTAATTATTATAGATACGAATAATTTCTCTCAATTCAAGTTCATTATAACAACATGCTAGCTAGATAGGCGGCTGCTGCCATCGTCGCCACTGCATCTGTAATCAGTAATAGTCTACCAGTTATTTATTTATACATTTATGTTTATAAATAGACACAGACATAGACATATGTGTACAATTTCCAATAACCTTCAAAAGTTCGTAATTGTAACATGTAGCAAATTGTTGCTAATTTTTGTAAAAAACGTATTATCTGTTTATTGCTTTTACCTTATTATCTGAGAGAATTTTTACACGGATTTAAAAATTACATTTTTCCTTATTGAAATATTCCTTTTACGTTCGATATCTTATTTAGAATGTATTTGAAATGTGGTAATGGGTTTACCAGCTAAGATATATCCTTTGAACCCGATTTGCAACAACATCCCCGAAATTCCAGCCATTTTTATACCCTACACAACTATGTTGTCAGGGTATTATAGCTTTGTGCAGCCCCAAAAGTTTGTAACGCCGCGAAATATTGGTCCTAGACCCACCTTTAAGTATACCGATCGTCATATCTCGACTAGCTGAGTCGATCTAGACATGTGTGTCCGTCCGTCCGTCCGTCCGTCTGTCCATTATAATTTGTAAACACGATACAGGCCACAGTTATAGACCAATCTTCACGAAATTTTGCATGTATGATGGGTTCTGGCCAATGAAGACCCCTATTGTTTTTGGAAAAGATGGGTTAATATTTAGGGGATGAAATGGACCAAAAACTTTATTTTTGTCGGTTTTTCTGGTCGCTCCAGAGGCCGCAATTATGGCCCAAACACCGCGAATTTTTGCATGGAGAAGGGGATCGGGCCAAAGAATAGGCATGCCTGTTTAATATTTAGCGGGTCGAATGGACCCTAACTTTTGTGTGAAAAATGACAAAATTTGTATTCTATAGCGTATATATTTACCACTGAAGGGCATAGACCCGAGAAGTTGATAGTATATCCAAGAGGAGTGGTTGACCTTTAAATTGATACCAATTATATAGTCGTAGGTACTCGGATGCGGGAGTTACACTTAAATATTTACAGGTGCTTACGTATTCATATATTAATTAGTTACCTATTACCACTCTGGAGTGCGGAAATATAGCTCTGATCGCTTTGAAATGTTCCGTGAGGTTCCAGTTATGGTCAAGGACAACGCCTAAAATGTTAGGTGATGATCAGATAATAATTTTTCGGATGAAGTGGACCGAAAACTTAATTATTTGTACTTTTCGAGTCGAAAGCCGAACATCACCGTACCGAAGAAACTTAGATTTTCATGGAAGTTGTGTAGGGTATCGTATGGTCGGCCCCGTCCGACAATACTGCTCCGCTCACTGGTTTAAAATAAAATTCCTTGAATTCCTGTAGTTTTTATAAGTCCCTCGAATTTTATTTTTCTCAAACTTCATCCGATTTTATTACAAAGTAACTAAAATCGTTCACACTTTAAGTAAATTACAAATACGCAAACAAATACAACCTTTCCAATTTGTCACTTCCTTAATCGAGGTAATTAAGTTCAATTAATTTTTTGTATTATGAAATCACTTGAGATGAACATTGATATCTCTGGTCAATAGTGGTGGTGGGAGAAGGAGAGAACCAAACACTCAACAAACTGTAGTCAAGTTCATGGAACCAATAAACAAATATAAAAACAACTGGATATGACTTTCAAGAATTTGCAATAAAAAAATAAACTGAAATCAATATTGGAAGTTAGTGATAATTCATTTTGATTTATTGAGACGTAATTAGATGGACAACAACAATTGTGTTGTAACCCATTCCCAGACCAGTTTATCAGCTGGGCGTGGAATTGAATTGCATTCATTGACGTCGTCGTTGTCATTTCGTTCCGACTCAGTCATTATCATGCCATCAATACCACCAACTGTTTCGAAATGCATCCATCCCCCAGTATCAGTTGTGACAATCTCTAAATTGTTGAAATTGAATTGCATCGCTGTGTCAACAACTAATCGTGTTATTTCCTAATTTAATTAATTCACTGTGGCGTTGCAATATGTTGAACGATAACAACAGATGTGTGTCAAATTGCCCTGGACATCAAATGAGGTGTTCAGAGCAAAAAAAAACGGACTTAGATGAAATTTTTTCAGAGGGTGTTCAAAAAAGTCCTTAAAAATACGTCGTCTATCGTTAATGACTCTGACAGCTGTTCCTCATGTAGAGTTATCTGTAAGCTCCTCTAAGAGACATCTAGTAGCTTGTATATCTATAGAATGCATTCCGGCCCACTTCTGTATATACATCTCACTATTTATATACACCTTTCTATTTATAAATATACATACCTCCCGAAAATCTAAAGTACTTCTTCCTTTGGAGGTCGCCCGGAAAACGTTTTTTCATTTACAGTAACTTTGAAAGCTGTTGTGGGTCTAGCATGCCTTCAGAATTCAATTAAATATCTTCTACAATAATCGAAAAAAAAAACACTAAAAACTATTCTATAAATAAAGGACCTTTCTGTTTTTTTTATACCCTCCACCATAGTAGGGAGGGTATATTAGTTTTGTTTTTCCGTTTGTAACACATCGAAATAATCATTTCCGACCCTATAAAGTATATATATTCTTGATCAGCGTAAAATTCTATGGCGATTTAAGTATGTCCGTCTGTCTGTTGTAATCACTCTAGCGTCTAAACGAATTGAGATAGAGCTCCCAAATGTTGCATAGAGTCTTTTGTCTGCAGGCAGGTCAAGTTCGAAGATGAGTTACATAAACGTTTAGGCATATCACCCATATAAGGTTACCCCCAATTTTCGGTATTTGGAGGTTCTTGAGCGCGTTTTTCAACTGAATTCGCTGAAATTTGGTACTTTGAATTCTTATTGGGTAGCAAATCTCTCCACTATAAATTATAAATATATACATAAGATTACCCCCCAATTTTCGGTATTTTGGGGTTCTTGAACGCGTTTTTCAAACAAATTCGTTGTAATTTGTTTCTTGTAGTTCTATATGGTAACAAACCTCCCTCCCAAAAATTATTAATATTCGCCCCCTTTTAGGGGTAGACTCCATATAACCGCCTTTTTATACCCTTCACCACACTGTGGTACAGGTAACAGGCAAAAATAATCGAGATAGACCCATGAGTCGATTTATGCATGTCCGTCCGTCCGTCTGTCCATGTTAAATTGTACTTTGTTACAGGTCGCATTTATGATCCGAATATATATATTTTCGTCCGATTTTAGAAAATTAAGTACCAAAGTCCCAATATATCTTTCGATTTGCACGAAATTTGGTATGGCCTACAGAATTAGGTCTAGAATGATGTGTGCCAAATTTCGTGAAACTTGATTCAGATTTATATATAGCTCCCATATATAGTTTCGTCCGATTTCAAGTAAATGGTGTACCAAAGTCCCTATATATCTTTCGATTTGCACGAAATTTGGTATAGCCTACTGAATTAGGTCTAAAATGATGTGTGTTAAGTTTCGAGAAAATCGGTTCAGATTTAGATATAGCTCCCATATATATTTTCGTCCGATTTCAGGTAAATGGTGAACCAAAGTCCCTATTATCCATCGATTTGCACGAAATTTGGCATAGCGTACTTAATTAAGTCTGGAACGATGTGTGCTAAATTTCCTGAAAATCGGTTCAGATTTAGATATATCTCCCATATATAGCTTCGCCCGATTTTAGGTAAATAGTCCACTAAAGTCCTTGGAAATCTATTGATTTGCACGAATTTTGGCATAGCGTACTGAATTAAGTCTAGAATGATGTGTGCAAAGTTTAGTGGCAATCTGTTCAGATTTAGCTATAGCTCCCATATGTATTTTCATCCGATTTAAGGTAATTGGTGCACCAAAGACCCTACATATCTTTCGATTTGCCCGAAATTTGGCATAGCGTACTGAATTTCGTCTAGAATGATGTGGCTAAGTTTCATGAAAATCGGTTCAGATTTAGATCTAGCTAATATATATAGTTTCACCCGATTTTGGGTAATTGGTGCACCAAAGTCCCTGGAAATCTTTTAATTTGCACGAATTTTGGCATAGCGTACTGATTTAAGTCTAGAATGATGTGTGCAAAGTTCCGTGAAAATCGATTCAGATTTAGATATAGCTCCCATATGTATTTGCATCCGATTTTAAGTAATTGGTGCATCAAAGTCTCTGAAAATCATTCGATTTGCACGAAATTTGTCATAGTGTACTAAATTAAGGCTAGAATGACGTGTGCTAAATTTCGTGAAAATATGTTTATATATATTTTCGTCCGATTTTATGTAATTGGTGCACCAAAGTACCAATATATATTTCGATTTGCACGAATTTTGGTATAGGGTACTGAATTAAGTCTAAAATGATGTAGCTAAGCTGCGTGAAAAGATCCATAGCTAGGCCGATTGTCACAACGTACTGATGTAATATAAATTAGTCTCTGGCAAGTTTCCCTGAAATCGGTTCAGATGTAGATATATAAAAAAAAAAGCTCTTCTCTCTATGGAAGAAGGTGGAAGAAAGCGTTCTTCCATAGAGAGAAGAGCTTTTATAAAAAGACGAATATTTACACAAGCTATTGTGTGGTCTTCACTAGAAATATATATTTCTGAAGATCAAAAGAGCTTTTGAAGGAATGTCAATGACATAGGAGCTTTATATGGAAGACACTTCGGGATATTCTCTCTATGGAAGCTCTATCACCTATTTAAATATCACATCTATATGTTTGTTTAACAACCGGCAACTTCTGTAAACTCCCAAATACAGACCACACCTCAAGATTCTTCTATCATGGACTAAAGGCAGAAGCTCTTGTAAAACTACCATATCCTATTATATTTATAAAGGACATCTCTTCTATATAAAAATATATATTTAAACATATTTATCTAGAGAAAGCATTTACAAGTTTTTACATCTTAATTTTTACTCTAATTTTTGAAGCCCAAAAAACTCTTCGATTTTTTAAATACAAGACTCATCCAAGCTTTTCTATATAGGTTTCAAAATATGATTTGACATCAAACTTTATACTCAGCTGTGCTGACTGTCCGACCAGATATAGGCCTTGATGCCAACATAGAGCTCCTTCAAGAGCGCTTTTCCCTCCTGGAGATGTCCAAAGCATATTATTCAAAAATCCGAAAAGCTCTTCTAATTTTACATAGCCTTTAAAAATAATCTCACATCTATATTATCTCATATTTATTTTCAGGTCTTCTGATGGTATTACCTTACCTGAGCTTGGTAATTATGCCACCGGCATTTTCTATTTGGATGAGAAAACTCACCAACAAGCTGAGCAAGAATTCAATGATTTGGCCAAAAGTCTGGGTCTAGAAGTGTTGACATGGCGCAGCGTTCCAACCAATCAAAATGCCATCGGCACTGTGGCCCGTAGTTCAGAGCCTTTGTCACGTCAGGTGTTTGTTGTACGTCCGGCTGGTATGGATGATAATACGTTTAAACGTCAAGTATTTGTGGTGCGTAAACGTGCCAGTCACGAACTGACCAAGGAGGGTCGTCGCTTCTACATTTGTTCGTTGTCCTCGAAAACGATTGTCTACAAGGGTCTCTTTACATCCGATCAACTTTGGAATTACTACACTGATCTCAAGGATCCACAATTTGAAACATATCTGGCATTGGTACATACACGTTTCTCCACCAATACGTTCCCCTCGTGGGAACGTGCCCATCCTTTGCGTGTCTTGGCTCACAACGGTGAGATAAATACATTGCGTGGCAATGTCAATTTAATGAAGGCACGTGAGGGTGTCATGCAGAGTGAGGTGTTTGGTGAAGACTTGAAAAAGTTGTATCCCGTTGTCGAACCCAATCTCTCCGATTCCGGTTCATTTGATTGTGTACTGGAATTTTTGACGGCAGCAAGTGATCGTACGTTGCCCGAGTCGGTCATGACTATGGTACCCGAGGCGTGGCAAAACGACAAGACAATGCCGCAGGAGAAACGTGATTTCTACCAGTGGGCTTCATGTGTCATGGAACCATGGGATGGTCCAGCATTGATTTCCTTCACCGATGGTCGCTATATTGGTGCTGTGCTTGATCGTAACGGTCTTCGGCCATCTCGTTTCTACATAACCAAAGAGAATATTTTGGTAATGGCTTCGGAGGTTGGTGTCTATGATGTGGATCCATCCCAGGTTACATTGAAGTCACGCTTGAAGCCTGGTCGCATGTTATTGGTCGATACACAAGAGAAGAAATTCATTCAAGATATTGAACTGAAGACATATATTGCAAAATCTCGTCCACATTCGGAGTGGTTACAACAAAAGGTAAGTAGGTGGGTGGGTGAAAAACAACAGATCAACACTAACATAACCTATATATTGTACAAAAGAAACGCCGGGTATCACAACACATACAACAGTAACAGCAATAATCATCCCCAAATTTATTAATAATGACAAACTGAATTTGTTTTTTCCAAAATCTTTTCTTAATATTCCCAAACAATGTTTTATATGCCTCCAAATTAATAAAATCAAAATATTTTGGATTTTAACAGATGGTGAGTGAGAAGGGTTTCAAAATTTTATCCTTTTGTTTGTAATTTGCGTTTACCAACATTTTTAGTTTTTTTTTCTGTAAATGTATTTAACAAATTATTATTTTTTTAGTTGAAAGCTTTGCATTAATAGAGAATGGGCTTTAGTAAAGCTTCGTTTTGATATTGAAAAAAAATTGTATTCTGAAAAAATTCTAACAAACGTTTTGTTTTTTAGATTACCTTAGATGAAATTCGCAACGCCAATGTTTTCAATACCGACAATGCCAATGGTACTGTACAAACCGTTGCTGATCCCAACCAAAGGGGTATGTTGGATCCTCGTCTGTCCTTGTATGGCTATACCAATGAAACCGTGAATATGCTTTTGGTGCCAATGTTTAAAAACAGGTAAATATTGAATATTACAGTGGTCGGCATATTTAGATCGATGAAATACATTTAAACTAAATTTTAGGGTGTATTTTGTCATTTAGAAAATATCAACACTCTGTATTTATCGAAATAAATATGCCGACCACTGCACATTTCAAGAATTCTTGTGTTAATTTTAAATTCTTGTATTAATTTTAAATTTAAATTTATTTTCTCTTTTACAGGAAAGAAGCTTTAGGCTCCATGGGCAACGACGCCCCCTTGGCTTGCCTCTCAACATTCCAACCTCTACCATATGAGTATTTTAAGCAATTATTCGCCCAAGTTACCAATCCTCCCATTGATCCATTCCGTGAGAAAGTTGTCATGTCTATGCAATGTCCCATTGGACCTGAAGCTAATATCTTAAAGCCTTCGGCCGAACAAGTCCATCGCATTTGGTTGAATAACCCCATACTAAGCATTCCAGATACAAATCTCTTGAAGCGCAACACTCATCGTGGCTGGAAGACCAAAGTTTTGGACATAACATTCCCCTATCAGGATGGTGTTCAGGGTTACATCGATTGTATTGATCGCATTTGTCGTGAGGGTGCAAACGCCGCCTCGTCCGGCTACCAACTATTGTTGCTATCCGACCGTAATGCCGGCCAGGAAGGCAAAGCTCCCATCTCCGCCTTACTGGCCTTGGGTGCTCTGCATCATCATTTGATCGAAACATACCTACGCATGAAGGTGGGTATTATTATTGAAACCGCTGAAGCTCGTGAAGTCCATCACATTTGTGTACTTTTGGGTTATGGTGCTGATGCCATTTGCCCTTATTTAGCCTTCGAATTGGCTCAGGCTTTGCGCGATGATGGTGTCATTAGTCCCGATGTTAGTGACAAGCAAATCTACTCGGCCTATGCACAGGCCATTGATACCGGCATTGCCAAGGTTATGGCCAAAATGGGTATCAGTACACTGCAGTCGTACAAGAGTGCCCAGATCTTTGAAGCTGTTGGCATGGGTCCTGATCTCATCAATAAATGTTTCCGTGGTACTCCATCACGTATTGGTGGTGTTTCGTTGGAAATGTTAGCCCGCGAAGGTTTGGAACGTTTCCAAATGACCTACTGCAAGGTGTCGATGGATACTCGTATTCTACGCAATCCTGGTCAATATCATTGGCGTCATGGCGGTGAGGCCCACATCAATGAACCGGCATCGATTGCCAGTCTTCAAGAGGCCGCTATATCGAATAATACAAATGCATTTGAAGCCTTTAAGGCAACCACAATGGAAAGTGTAAGACGCTGCACATTGCGGGGACAATTGGACTTTGTTAGTGATCGTCCAAAGATTGATATATCGGAAGTTGAACCGGCTAGTGAAATTGTAAAGAGGTATGGATGAGGTGGCAGACGTCGAAATAGAACGATTTTATAAAAATGTAATTGGTTTTATTTTTGTAGATTTGCTACTGGTGCCATGAGTTTCGGTAGTATTTCCCTGGAGGCCCATCAAACTTTGGCCATAACCATGAATCGCATTGGTGGCAAGAGTAATACTGGTGAAGGTGGTGAAGATGCCGATCGTTATTTGAGTAAGTATTCATATGTAATAGATTGAGAAAAGAAAATTGAGGATTTTTTTCAAGGTTTATTAAGAGGATTTCTATGAATATTCCTTCAAAGCCTATTAGTGTTGTATAATTGTATTTTTTAGGAATAGTTTTTCAACGGTCATTTGATTATTAATCAGAAGATTTTTTTCTTGGATTTAAATAATATTTTTTAAGGGTCATCAGATTTGTAAACGTGGGATTTTAAAGAATATTTTTGACAGGTCATTAGAACAATAAGCGTATATTTTTTAGCAATATTTTTCAAGGGTCATCAGGTTTTTAAATAATATTTTTGAGGGTTTTTAAAGAATATTTTTGAGGGTTCGCAAGATCAATATGTGAGAATTTAAAATAATATTTTTGAACGGTCATCAGATCACTAAGCGTCAGTTTTTAAAGCACAAATTGTCAAGGCTTATCAGATTCATAAGCTTAGATCCTTTAAGAATATCTTTCAAGTCCAGTCAGAGGACAGTAGTTAAGTTTTTGTGATTATTTTGACAAGGACTATCATTATAGCAATAAGCGTGGATTTTGTTCATAACCACATCTAATAAATTTTTTTCTACTTTCATTTCAGATCAAGATCCTCAAAATAGCCGTCGTTCTGCCATCAAACAAGTGGCATCGGGCCGTTTCGGCGTTACCGCCTCCTATTTGGCCAATGCTGATGATTTGCAAATTAAAATGGCACAGGGTGCTAAGCCTGGTGAGGGTGGTGAATTGCCCGGCTACAAGGTTACAAAGGATATTGCCAAAACACGTCATTCGGTACCCGGTGTTGGTTTGATCTCACCACCACCACATCACGATATCTATTCCATTGAAGATTTGGCTGAACTTATTTATGATTTGAAATGTTCGAATCCCAATGCACGTATTTCGGTTAAATTGGTGTCCGAAGTGGGTGTTGGTGTGGTGGCATCTGGTGTGGCAAAGGTAACTATGAATTTATTGATTTTAAATGCATACAAACTAAACCTATTTATATTGCAGGGCAAAGCTGAGCATATTGTAATTTCTGGCCATGATGGCGGCACCGGTGCCAGTTCATGGACTGGTATTAAAAATGCTGGTTTACCCTGGGAATTGGGTGTTGCTGAAACCCATCAAGTTTTGGTTTTAAATAATCTACGTTCAAGGTGAGTTGGCCCTTGTTCTCATTTTAAATAGGTCATTTTGATTCAAACACTAACCATTTAGAAAGAGAAAAATCGAAATCTAAACATATATATTGTCAATATATAAACATATATACCTAACTTTGAATTAACCTGGTTATCCAGATGACGAGTTTTTCAATGGCCTTGTCGTCGGAGCCGAGGATACAAATGAAGTGAGCCTTAGACTCAAAATACGCGTCGCGTTGCATACAAAATATGTGTGTTTTTTGCAAATGATGAGTGAGATAGAAATAATGGAAATATTTGTGATCTTGAGTTGATTTCGAAATGGAAGAAAAAAAACGAAAGTAAAACCAAATCAATGATTCCACATTTTCGATAAAAACATAAACGCTTACAAAATAAAATGAACACACAAACACAATGGAGAACAATACCACCTACATGGCAGTATAAAAAAGAGCTGAGGAACCCCCAAAGTACCATTCGTGGAGAAAAACCCAGAGAGCTGTTCATAACCCCAGGAATCATGAAGGATGATATTGGTTGTGTGTGTTCCCAAGGATGTAAGCGTTAAGTTTATTAACGAAATGTTGACATAGCGCCATGAAACTTCTCATAAAGATCTCCTAAACTATTTCGTTTATATCTGCAATTGTCTCTTGTAAGAAAGAAATAACCAAACAAAAAACACAAGCACACACGCATTCCAATCAATCACCATATCACTCTAGTCGAATAAAACAAATGTATGTCATTGCTCACTTCTGCAACATAGAGCATCTCCTCTCCTCGTCGTGTTGTTCGATTGATCGCTCCCTCGCTCGTTCTTCATCAAGCTGCTGCAAGCTGCGGCTCCATTAGTAATTCTTTTTCAAGCATTATTGAGTCGTGTTTAGAAATTCTTCTAATGTTGTGATTTTTCTTTTCAAAATTTCTATGTTTTTGTGTTGCTATCCGAAATGCTGTTGCTGCTGCTGTCAATATTGTTCCTTGTTTGACAAACAGAGTTGTCGTCCAGGCTGATGGTCAATTGCGTACTGGTTTTGATGTTGTCGTTGCCGCCTGTTTGGGTGCTGATGAATTTGGTTTCAGTACCGCTCCCTTGATTGTTATGGGTAAGTTGTATTAGTATTGACACATTAATGCAAATAAAGAGATTCCCTCATAGCCTCGATTTCAAATGCAAACCATTTTAAATTTAGCGATGGAAATAATGCTCCACACTTAGACCCTTCATATTGCAGATCACACTAATGAAACATTTCAACTTTCCCCATTTCAGGTTGTACAATGATGCGTAAATGTCATTTGAATACTTGTCCAGTGGGTATTGCCACTCAGGATCCAGTATTACGTAAAAAATTCACCGGCAAACCAGAACATGTTATCAATTTCTTCTTTATGCTGGCTGAAGATGTAAGTTCGTCCGGAAAGTATCCTTAGATTTAGTTTTAATCACTCTCTCCTTCAATTCATTGCAGATTCGTAAAATCATGGCCAATTTGGGTATACGCAAATTCCAAGATTTAATTGGCCGCACCGATTTGTTGCGTGTAGCCGATAAACGTTCAACCAAGGCAAATACCTTGAATTTGTCAATGTTATTGACCGATGCCTTGACTCTGCGTCCTGGCACCAATATTATTGGCGGCTCGGTTAAACAAGACTTCCAATTGGAAAAACGTTTGGACAATGAATTAATTGCCAAAATACAACCCATATTCAATGGCACCGAGGATAATGTTACCGTCAAGATGCGTATCCACAATGAGGAGCGTGCATTTGGTTCGACACTCAGTTACCATATTGCTTGGTAAGTGATCAACTAACATAAGTACATAGTTTTGTAATACTTAGTAATCTTTACATTCGATTGTTGTTTGCGATTTTAGTAAATATGGCGAAGCTGGTCTTCCTCAAGGCAAAACAATGGATATATTCCTTGAAGGTTCTGCTGGCCAAAGTTTCTGCGCCTTCTTGCCACATGGTGTCAATGTCACCTTGAAGGGTGATGCCAACGATTATGTGGGCAAGGGTTTGTGTGGCGGTACCATTGTCATTACACCACCCGATACTGTACCCTTCGAATCGCATTTGAACGTCATTGTGGGCAATGTGTGCTTATATGGTGCCACTGAGGGCCGTGCCTATTTCCGTGGCATTGCAGCTGAACGTTTCTGTGTCCGTAATTCCGGTGTCACAGCTGTTGTTGAGGGTGTTGGCGATCACGGTTGCGAATATATGACTGGTGGTCTGGTCGTTATCTTAGGTTTGACTGGTCGCAATTTTGCTGCCGGCATGTCCGGTGGCATTGCCTATGTCTATGACATTGATGGTTCCTTCAAGCCCAAGGTAAACCCAGAACTGGTAGAACTTTTGCCTCTTGAGTTGCCGGGTGATGTTGCCCAAGTTAAGGAGCTTTTGCAAGATTTCATTGAGAAAACTGGTTCGAAAATTGCCAAGGATATCTTGGATAATTGGGATCAGGAACAAGCCAAATTTGTTAAAGTATTTCCCTTCGACTATCAACGGGCCCTCAAAGAACTTGAGGCCGAAAAAGAAGAACAACAGAACAAAACCGACGATGTTAAGGCCATTGAAAATGGCAAAGCCGCCCATGAACCCACTGTAAAGGATATTGAAGAAACTATCCAAGACGTGGCCTTGGAACAGAAGAGAGCCGAACGTGTTTTGGACAAAACCAGAGGTTTTGTTAAATACAAGCGTGAATCGGCTCCTTACCGTGATGCTGGTGAACGTCAAAAGGATTGGGAAGAGGTGTATAACTTCCCACATGTTCGCAAGAATTTGAAAATGCAAGCCGCCCGTTGTATGGAATGTGGTGTACCATTCTGTCAATCGAATGCCCATGGTTGTCCTTTGGGTAATATCATACCCAAATGGAATGACTTGGTATTCCATGGCGATTGGAAGGAGGCTCTACGTCAGCTGTTGCAGACCAATAACTTCCCTGAGTTTACTGGTCGTGTGTGTCCAGCTCCCTGTGAAGGTTCTTGTGTCCTGGGTATTTCCGAACCGGCCGTAACTATTAAAAATATTGAATGTGCAATTATCGACCATGCTTTTGAACAAGGTTGGATTAAACCAGAAATTCCAGAAACTAGAACAGGCAAACGTGTTGCCATTGTGGGATCTGGTCCATCCGGTTTGGCTGCTGCCCAACAACTTAATCGTGCGGGACACTTTGTTACTGTATTTGAACGTAATGACCGTGTTGGTGGTTTGCTACAATATGGTATACCCACAATGAAATTATCCAAGAATGTTGTCAAACGTCGTGTTGATTTAATGGCCGATGAGGGTATTGAATTCCGTACCAATGTCCATGTTGGCAAAGACATTAAGGCTGAGGTTCTAATGAAAGAGTGAGTAGAAACTTTAGGTGAAGTAATATCGATAGTTATTGAGGCGGTATTTACTCATTTTAGATATGATGCCGTGCTTTTGACAACCGGTTCCACCTGGCCACGTGATTTACCTTTGGAGAATCGTGATCTCAAGGGCATACACTTTGCTATGGAATTCTTGGAGGCCCAACAAAAGAAACAATTGGGTGGTAAAAATGAAATCATCTCCGCCGAGGGCAAGGATGTCATTATTATTGGTGGTGGTGATACTGGTTGTGATTGTATCGCCACTTCATTGCGTCAAGGAGCCAAGAGTATTACAACATTTGAGATTTTGCCCGAGCCACCAAAGGGTAGAGCTGCTGATAATCCATGGCCACAATGGCCCAAAGTATTCCGGTATGTAAAAATTTTAAATTTTAAATGTGACATTATAATAATCTGTGTGTGTGTTTTTTTTTTGTGGTTATGCACAGAGTCGACTATGGCCACGAAGAGGTACGCCTAAAATGGGGCAAGGATCCCCGCCAGTATTGTACAACAACCAAAGAATTCATTGGTGAAAATGGCCACATTAAAGGTGTCAAAACCGTTGAAGTGGAATGGACTAAAACACCCACCGGTGCCTGGAGCATGAAAGAGGTGGCTGGCACTGAAAAACACTTCAACGCCGATTTGATTTTATTGGCCATGGGCTTTTTGGGTCCCGAGAAAACTGTACCCAATGAATTGGGTTTGGAATTGGATAATCGTGGCAATGTTAAAGCATGCAATGGTCCATATGGTACATCTAATTCGAAAGTATTTGCTGCAGGAGGTAAGTTGTATTTTATTTATTATATACTAAATAATCAATAATGAAATAGACAGATGTAGGTCAATTCAATGAAATTGAGAAATATTCGAAATATTGAAAAGTATAAGAAGTACAAAGAAGGTTTATTACTTCGAAATTTACGACCAAATTTCCTTAAAAAAATATATAATAAAAAAATATATATAATAAAATATAGGATTTTAATAATTTATTTCTTCCCACTCTCCCTTTTACAGATTGTCGTCGTGGCCAATCGTTGGTCGTATGGGCTATTACAGAGGGTCGCCAAGCAGCTCGACAAATCGATAGCTATTTAACAGGCCGTCCTAGTGGTCTTCCGGGTCCTGGTGGTGTTGTGGATCCCACCAAAAAGGCTTAAATATAATTCTATTTATGTATGAATTGATATTAATTTTAGTTTGTATTATTAATAATTATTATTTTTAAAAAAACACATGTCTATGTATTTCGTTATTTTTTCTATCACATTTTTGGTTAAGTCTCACACTCACTGCAAAACAAAACGAAACGAAGAAAAAATTATTCTCGTTTACAAATTATGTTTTTCTCTGTTATATTTAGTTATACTTTAAGCTTTTTAGATAAATAAGAAATCGCTACAAAATATATATTTATTTTCGGTTTTTATTTGTTTACACCTTCTTTTATGGTTTGTTAATAAAAAAATTGGTCATAATCAAAAGAATGAAAACAAATTGGATTGAAAAAAGTATAACATTAAATGATAGTATTTGTTAGAAAAAATGCTTTAAATTGTTGATATAAAAGTAAAACGCGTTTAAATAGCAAAACTAAATTCAAATTACACAGTTTATGGTCAATTAGCGGCACGTTTTTTGAAATATTTACATAATAAAAATGAAAAAAAAAATAAATAGTTTTAAAACCAAAAACCGTCACGCTACAGGAACTCAAGAAAAAATCATCCTATACTATCAAAACACAAACCAAAAATAACTAAAATTTTCGGTATGAATAAGAATTTTGCATCAAAAGAATGAAAACAAAATGATGAGGCAGCTTCAAACCTCATAAGACAATAACTAGAAATTAAAGCAAAAAAGTGAAAATTTATACCTATTTAATATTTATTGTTTATACAAAAAATTATATTATACATTATATTTAACAAACCAAAATACAAACAGAAAATAAACTGATTTTCTATCTGTTAATTGGAATGCTGATTTCAAAAACTCCTCTCATAAAAATTCAATACCATCGACTACAAAATGAAAATGTATCCTAAATGGGATTTTATACAGTGATGTTCATATGACTAGAAGTTTAATATCTTAAATTATAAGGCTATTACAATATTCATTAAAAGGGATTGTAATATGACAGATATGGGCCTCTCGACCGGTGAAAGACCTTCGACAGAACTAAGCGTAGTTTTTATTGGTTTCGGCCCAAATTTTTCCCATAACGATCTAATCCTTAAAAGGATTCGATATGATGTATTAAGCATTTCATGGTTTAAACTAGTTAAATTTCAATTACTGGTAACAGAGGTGCTGATGATGATTCCCATTTAAGCGAATATGCAACACAAGTTTTACGAAAAGGTCAACACAATACGAATGTAAAGTTGGTTAGGCTATATGCTGTTTTTAAAAACCACCATTTAGATAATATATATTCTTGATCATGGAGATGTTTGTTAGACATATTACAATGTATACAAGTGGGTATAATCGGATGGCATATTCAATGAAATATTTTGTGTTAATATTAGTTCGGCTTTACATTAGGCAATTTTAATTTCTGCACTTTGTTGGGGAGAGAGCTGAGGGGAATGACAACCCTTCTACTGTCTCGCCCACAAACTGACAATCGCCTAGTGTAATTTTGGTATTACCACCATATTTCGCCTTGTATGAACAAAGGGAGCGTTTCGTTCCCCATTGTTGCAATACCCTTTTTCCAAGTTGTATGATTTTCACTGTATAAAAAAATGTTATCAACAATAAACATATTGGGCTTTTTGAATTATTTACTAATTGTATAAATCCCATGTTTGACTACGCAAAAAACAATAAATTAATACACAACTGTAACCTGCTCATCTATCTGGTTTCCTATAATATGCAAAAAAAAAAAATACTTCTTTCAAAATCATATCATATTGGAAATATATTTTCTTATGAAAACCGCCCACATCAAAAACAAAACATTTATAGAAACATCCTATGGAGAATTTATATCTTATATATAATAATTATTGATTTCATTGCAAACCAAAAAGCAGAAAACCTTATTCTGAAAAAAAAAGAAACAAAACCATGTTTTTAATTAGTACATTATTAACTGCATACATATTATTATAGGCATATAAATATGTATGTACTTATAGAAGTTTTAAAATATATTATATAAACGAACGAATAAATATTTATTATAAAATATTATATAATAATTTCAATATTTTCTTCTATAGGTATGTATATGAATATACATATATTTATTAATTATAACAATTATTTATTTATCCAATACATACACATCCAAAATTATAATAATTTATTAAATATTATCTGAACAATATATATATAATCATATACATTATGTAAACATATGTATTATAACATTATAAGAAAACAATTCTCAGTGCAAGTTCTACTTGCATTCTGCAGAAAAGTTTCACAATAAACGTTGAAAACTATTTATGTGTTACTAAATAACAGAAGTGTTTCATTTATGTACAGTGGTCCGTATATACTAATTTTGAAAAATTTTGCATGGTAATATTGAAACTACAATATATTTAGAAAGCTTTGCCTTAATGCAATGAAATGATATAAATCTACTAAATCTCTTCAAAAAATGATCGTATAGGTGAACTTTTAAGTATAGCCACAATAAAACTATTTTTTCCGATTCTAGAGACGTTTGTATAATTTCCTTATCAAAAAATATCTATATTAGCCAAGTATTGGTCATTTTAAGAATACCGCGAAATTTGTATACCATCGAAAAATTAGCCACATTTTCCATTTATTGAAATTGGCATTTATTTCAAATTGCAAATAAATGCCAATATCAGTATGAAGGGAATTACAATTTCTGGTCGACAAGAAGCTTTTTACCTGCTTGTATTTGAAGTGGAGGACATTGGTAATAGTTTATGAAATATCGTACCCTTAACATACAAAACGATATACATAACTACTTATAAGCTACTTAAAGAATCACGAAAACCCAATATTGGCGAAAACGAGGAAACCGCTAAAGATGTGGTTTGATATATTCTTTGTTCTATGACTTCTTGTCATAACAAACTTTTTTCCTTGACACTGCAAAACTTAACTCGATAAACGGAAAATATTAAATCGTTAAAGATTAAATTAGCTTGAAATTTATGTAGGTTCAAAACCACATGGGATTTACATGCTTTGTTTGATTCAAAACAAATCAACAAATATATTTTTTTATGTTTTCATATACATATATTTATTATACGCATTATATATCAACATTTATTAATAGTAAATACTAACGCTAAAATATCTAATGATACAATCGATATGAGTCAATACAAATCTTTAAAGTATTAACTCAAAAATTCAATTAACTCAACTTCGATTGTATCCGAAATAATAAAAGGAAAAACATAACAATTAAATAATGAATTGCATTATTATATACGAATGCTGATAATATTTGGTGTTCCCACAATTCATGTAAAAATGTTTGATAAGAACTGCAACCGACATTATAATTAAAACAAACAAAAATATGATAGGTTATTTAGAGGCTTTTAAAAAGCCCTTTGTTTGCTTTTTTCCATCGAATTCGATCTTATATTACTCTTATTAGTAAAACATTTAAAGCTTGATGTAAAAAGGGGGTTATATTCCGATAAATTAAAAAAAATGCATGGACGTTTGTCACATATCCCTGCTATGGATAATTTAAGTCTATGCCAGATGATTGTTCGCTTAGAATTCCGTTCCACAATTCGAACAGCGTTTGTTTTTCATGGCCAAGCAACAAAGTATGCCCACGGGGAAGAAGACAAGGGCACATAAAAGTCCCAAACATGGATAAGAATCTTCCAATATGCCAATGCGACAGGCTGGGCAACCGCCAACAACAATAATGTTCGGTGTTTGTGTTATTGGGGGCGGTTGTATGACCACACTGACTGGTGTAGTTTCAAAGGCTCCGTACGTTGGCACTTGATAGTTTTGAGGTGCTGAGGGTGTCGCATAATATTGTCCAGCACTTGGTGGAGGAGCTTGTGGCATATAATATTGTTGTTGCGGCTGTGGATTTGCACCTTCCGTAATACCAACATTTGGATTGGGATACTTACCTTAACGAAGAAAAGAAAACAGAGGAAAATGTAAGTGGCCGAAAATAAATTGCACTGTTTAAAGTTTATTTACCTTGAGAACCTTGGGGCGGTGGCGTATCTGTAGATGTCTTCATTACCTCTTCATACGAAGGGGGATCTTTTGATGGCTGAGACATTATCTTGTTTGTCTGTTCGATAAATTATTTAAATAAAATAATATATACGAACAGTCTATTGTGATGATGAATAAACGAAGTAAACGAACGAGTGCAGGGCTAATGCAATTTAATGACAAAAAATTAGGTAGGTGTAGATCGAGAATAGACTTTTTGCAATACATTGATTTATTTATAAAAGTACATTTACATATACGATTTTAAATCGACTCGATTAACGAAATCCAGAAATACACCCTAATTGTTTACACATACCCTTAATCATGATCTAAATGCCGATCAGCTGATGTTTGTTAGTATACATACAAAATTATTAATTTGCGGCAAAAATATTTGTTTGCAATTTGAAAAAGAATAGAAGAATTACCACAATGGAAATGTTTTTGCAATACTGTGATCGTTTGGAAAGTAAAAAAAAAACACCTAAAAACACAAAAATTCTATAATTAATTTTTATTTTCCTTTGATCTGTCATTTTTGTATTTGTCAGCCGTTAAATTTAAAAACAAACGGCAGGTAAAAACAGTTGCAAATTTTGGTACATTGTGAGAGAGTTGTATTTTTTCGTACAAAACCCGCGATGCATCTCAGTAGTATCATGATTTCGATCATGATTTAAAATAAATCCTGCTGCACGATGATTTAAATTTGTGTGGTAAATCATGGTAAATTTAGCCTGATTAAGAAAATAAACCCTGATTCAGCATTTAATCATGATTAAATGTTATATGTAAATTCGCTTTAACGCATTTAAACAAGAGTCTATTAAGGCGCGTTTAGACTACAATTTTTTCGTTATAAATTGCATTATATCGATTTAAATGCTATAATCGAGCTATAATTACCTCCATTTACTATATAAAATAAAATCCAACTCAATATCCGGATTTCCTCGAAATCCTTTGTTAAATCGAGATATATTGAAATACAACCCTGCATCTGCACCTAAAAAATTATAAATTCTCTTTAAAGTATGCTACAAAATATATTACAATTCAAAATTGTTGCCTACAAAAAATATGGCAGGAAGACTTCCATGGCAAGTCTGACAAGTCAAGAGAATGGCCTGCTACAACAACAACAAATAAGACCGACTCTCAGAGGGCAATTGATTGAGGATATTCATATTAACCTGGTCTTAACCGATTAATTAATAAATAAATGTTGACCATTCGGAGGTACCAGAAGGAGTGGATAAATTGGTCCCATCTTCGAATTTTATCTAGGCTTGGTAATGATAATTGGTTGTGCAAGGTTGGGTTCAAATCGAACATTCCATTCGCCTGAATTTGGATTTATAAATAAATGGACTTCAAATTTTCTGAAACGGATTTGGTCCAAAAGGATCTAAAACCAATATTTCGTCATTAGCCATAAGGCTGATGGTATAAAAAGCCTACCAGACCACTATAGGATCTCCTCATTTTATTGTTGAGAACTGAACGTTTTTGTGAACACAAATCGAACTGCTATCTTTTAGTTCGTACAATTCGACGAGTTGCAAACGGCGAGTAATCATTTTACAGTGGATAGCACTGCTGATTCGACTAATCCGGTTAGACAAAAGTCGACTTACATATCCCTAATAGAAAGTTTTAACTAAAACAATTGTTTTATTATTTCATTCTAAGAAAATATTAAATAAAATCTACAAAAATGGCGAAGATGGCATTTCAGCACCAAGCCGGCACGGCCATGGAGTGTTTAAGTGTAAGTCTCTACTTATTGCTATGTTCCAAGAAATTATAAGTGACCTCATAGCAGAAAGGAAAACCTCTACAACTACATAGAAAATCTACTTTTATGAGCACAAACTTTTTTGCATTGATCTAAAATTTCATTTCCTTTGCAGATTCCCATAACCTTACACAAGGAAAAGGATTACGATCAGGAGGGTAGGGAGATTTTAAAATGTGGCTTTAAAATTGGTGGAGGCATTGATCAGGATTACAAGAAAAGTCCACAGGGTTATACAGATTATGTAGGTTACCAATGTTAAGTACCTATATACACAGTATAATTGTATAATTTTTATTATTCCTTTATCGTAGGGTATTTATGTTACTGAAGTCCATGACGGCAGTCCTGCTGCCAGGGCTGGCCTACGCATTCATGACAAAATATTACAATGTAATGGCTATGATTTTACAATGGTCACCCACAAAAAGGCGGTCAGCTATATACGTAAACATCCGGTTTTGAATATGCTGGTGGCACGTAAGGGTGTAACCTCTACATAAATTGCATCAAGTGGACTAGCAGGCAACGAATTGACTATCCATCCTTAAATAAGCAATTTTTTGAATTTACTCAACTTTTCACTATTTTCCCTCAATATGGATTTCTTTCTATCAACCAGCATTTCATTTGTTGATGGAATTCAAGGCAACTTTCAGGATCTCTTTTTACCTTGCAACATGCTCTCTTTCCATTTCCCATTACCTAGAATATGGGGTATTATTTCCATTTTTTCATTACTATTTAACATCTTTCATTCTCTATACGTTCATATTTCCATTATAACATATAAGCCAATATTATATAAGCCGTGGCCAAATTTAAACAACTAAGAGTACTTATTGCAACATACAAACAAAAAACTAAATCGTAAAACTACTGGTATAATGCATTTATTTACAAAATTAGTATTAAAATACAAAAAAAAAAAACTAATAAATTACATTCCATTATTCAAAATGCATAATCACTAAAAGGTATTAGAAATGCTTTAGAAACACTTGTGGCTATTTTGTCAATAATTAGAAAATAATTGTTCTGAATTTTTTGGCTCCAAAATTTTTGTTTGCATTATTCCCATCCATTATGATTGCACCATATACATATATATTTACAGAATAGTATTTTATGTGATACAAACAAAATATATAAGAATATGTTTTTAACAATAACAAAACAAATACATAGTAGATATTTATATCATCATTAATTTTAAGAAGTTTTTTGTTTGTTTTATATAACTATTTACAGTAATTAATTCTTTTCAATAAAAACAAAAGAAAAATGATTCGCACATATTTCTTGGTTTTTTATTTATTTTTTGTGGAAAGTTTATGTGGGTTTTGTATAAAAACTTGGACCTATATATATACACCGCACTAAATTTGTATATATGTCAGCCTTCCAGATACCTTTATACCATATTACAGCCCAATCGGTTGAAAAATGTGGCTGAAGTCTTCAAAATACCGAAAATGGAATGGTACCGTTCTATGGGATCTATCATTTTTGGTAGGAACATTTGACAACCCAATGAGAACCTGAAAGGTCAAATTAAAGCGAATTCTGTTAAAACCATGTTCAAAAGACCCGAAACATAATTCTATATGGAAAATTGTTCGTATGCAGATCTGATAGCCAAAGTGAATCAAAAATACCAAATAGTCTAAAACGACCAAAATACCGAATAATGGTACCTCCAATATAAATCATTTTCGGTAGGAAGATTTGATACTCAATGAAAACCAAACACAGCAAATTCCAACCAATTCGGTTGAAAAAAGGTGTCAGAAATCATTATAATACGGAATATTTGTGAGTACCGTTATATGGGAGCTATACCAAAACGTGTAGCGATATACCCCATTTGCAATACCAACCGTCCTAGGAGTAATAACAATGCCAGTGCAAAATTTCAAAGCTCTACCTCAAATATTACGATCTTAATAATATATATGTATACTTTATGCGGTGTCCGGTGAATATTTCGATGGCTGAACATTTAATATACACTCCATCTTAAAGTGGATGATGTAAAAAAGGCGGGTCTTATATATATGATAGATCATCTAAAAATCTCTTATACGTATAAAACCTAAGCCCAATCTTTAAAAGGTCTTCCAAAAATAAAACACAATGGGTCAGCTGGGATACTTTTTAATTTAGTGGACGTCCCACAGGTCAACTGACTACTGGACAATATACTTATCATTCCTCCACTTACGGAATATCCTCAATGTATTTTGAACAGATATGTCTTACAGATATGTCTCTGTGTCTACAACTTGTATTGTAAAATTTAAAATTAAAACTCGTTTATTTTTTTTTTTAATTTTTGTCAACTGACTACTGGACAATATACTTATCATTCCTCCACTTACGGAATATCCTCAATGTATTTTGAACAGACATGTTTTACTTCTGTATCTACAAATTGTATTGTAAAAATTGAAATTAAAAATCGTTTATTTTTTTTTAATTTTTGTTTTTTATTAGAAAAATCTCACATTGTATGACAAAATCGACATGTACGCACGTTATAAATAAAAAATAGTAAATGTGTGATCATTATCTAAAAAGTGCGTTTGATGAGGTTTGGTTTAAATGAGTTCTCACAATCAATCCATAGTAACAAATAAGGTCGGTCTTTGTAACTGTGTGACGACATCATTTCAATAAATCTAAAACGATTTCTTGAGGCTAAAACTAAAAACAAAACTATTGATTTCTTTATATTGACAAAAGAAATCAATATGCGCACTTTTACTTTTAAAGATGGAAGAAGTTTATCTCAAATAACCTTTAAGGGCGGAATTTACGTTTTCTCATTCAAAATTTTTTTATGAAATGTTTGTGTTTCTGTTGTTAATGCGGGGGAACAAAATTAGTTTCCTAATTTAATAACTATATTTCTAAAAAATAAGATCACTATTTAATGTTTCTTGTTTTTGCCGTGACGTTCGTATTTGCTCTTGGATGAGTGCCACAAAGCCAATGGAATGGCCAAAGAGGGCAGAGTCATGATGGCAAAAGCAACCCAATCGAAGAAGTGAGAAGAGAAACGTTTGTTGAATTCGCCTAAGTTGACGATGCCACCCTCACCAGGTTCAGAACTGACAGCCAATTGGATCTAAAACAAAATAAAAAAACAATTATAATTGATACAAACTTCCAAAAGTGTGCGTCGCAATTACCTTTTCGGCTTCTTCAACAGGTTTGTAAGAAACCTCAGCAGCGGTGAAATTGAAATAACCATGGGACTTGGGTCTTACAACAACAACGTGTGTGTAGTTGGCTTGTGGGGCAAGACGTTCAACGCTGGCAGTTGGTTTGCCACCAACAATTTCGAAAGCTTCAGGATGGAAACCATTGTCAACCAATTTGATATTGGTAGCGGCACCATTTCCAACATTGTAGATAGTGTAACGCACCAACAAATCGCTCTTCTCCACCAAGTATTTGTTCAAGATCTGTTTGGAGACCAACAAGCGGGCAGAGGTTTCTTCATCACCGGCCAAACTTACGCTAGCCACAGCCAACAAGGCAAAGGAAATGAATAAAGCTTTGAACATGCTGTAAATATTAAATAAAATTATTGATTTATCAAACAAAAAAAACATCAACAACAACCAACATTATGAAAGAAATTTAAAAAAAAAGAAACTTGTTGACGTGGAGTGTTTTCCAAATCCACCAGTTATTTTTTGTCAACGAACAATGAAAATAAGTGTATAATTTCTTTATAATCAGGTTTTATGGTTTGCTTTCGCTGATTATTATTAACACCGTTTAATTGCTGTATACTTACATTTCGATTTTATTTAATAATTTCTTAAATTAAAAACAGTCTTGTGTACAACACGACGGCGGCTTCCAAATACAACGTTTCACTTTTCTACAATGTTAACCGACTGAGAATGACTGTTGTGACGTGTAAACTTCGTTTCTTCTGTCAACGTTCGTAAACGTGTACACAAGCAAACGCTGAATGCTATGAATTTGAATGACAGCTAGTGATGTCATGAACAATGCGGTTAGTTGTTGTGTGTGTCATTCTACACAAAAATCTGATGTAATAAATGACTACAAATTCTAGCAAGAAAACGAATGTATATTAAGATTTAAGATATCTACGCGATATCAAATGTCAATTTCATAGGGTATACGTCAAATTAAATCCACTGGATTTATGAATAGGATTTACTTGACGAATGCGCTATAGAATTGGAATTCGAGATCGAGTGGATTTAGTAGTATAAACGTTTTTCACGATGTCATTGGGTCCAATTTTGCACACCTTAATATTTAAGGAAAACACACAAGGAGTCATGCATGACATATTAAGTCGACTTTCTATGAAATGTGAATTTATAAGGGAATATCAGGGTCAATTTTGAATTTGGACGCCATTTTCCTTTATTCTTTTACAATAAAATAAGCAAATTTAAAATGCTAAGCCGAAGTCGATTTATGAGTTTTCCCCTTTATATTGAACATACATTTTATTTGAAGATTGGCTCTGTTGTCCATTACTTTTTGCACCAGCCCGCAATTTTGAGAAATGATAGATATCACTCCCGATGTGATGCAAACGCTAAATATAATCTTTTTATAAGTCGATGGAACATAACACGAAGACTCTTACGGATAAGTCATAGTATATACCTGCAGAAAATAACAAATGTCCAAAAGATGAGCTCAAAAATTTTACTTATTTTTACCGTTATAATTACTACCGATATAAAAACGTGCCTAATGTCCAAATATATCGAAATTTTAGTGGTACCGCCGTGTAAAGGCTAGGAAGATTTACTACACAATGAATACCCAAAATACAAATATTTATTGAAATGTTGATATTGATAAGGAATCACTAAAGCCTTCGAGGTCAATAGCAAAACAAAATGGCGTTCTCTTTGTAAACTTTTTACTCGAAAAATTTGTTCGAGTAAAAATGGTAAACAGTAATGCCAACTTCTGATTGCTGTTATGGTGATTTTGAAGTATTGCAATCTAATTTTGCGTTCCCGAACTTTTCAAATAATTGTGTAATTTTATAATAAATGAATTTGTATGGCATAATTATGCAAGGTAGTCTCATTTGTGAAATTGATGGCAAACCTTTTTAATATGGAATTCATATATCAATTTCAAATAAAATGAAAAATAAATACCATAAAATTTTATGTATGTCGATTGGCATATTTTCAATAAATGAAACAAAACGTTTCATTTAAGCGGATTTCGTTAACCCAGTGGGTTTCTATTGCCAATTTCTTTGTATATATGCCAAATAAATCCTCATAAAATAGGTTAACCCGGTAAACAGTTCTAATGTATATGCCGTTTAAGTTTTAGAGGCAGGGAACTTAAAAATATTTACAAATTTAAAATATTTAGCAATTTTTGTCACTGAACACATGATATGCGTACATTTTGAAGGAGGATATTTTCCTTTAAATTTTGAAAGCTGAATACTGTCAAAGGCAAATTTATGAAAAAATTGAAAACATATGACTGCATGAGACTACCTTATATAATTGTGTCATGATGAATTTGTTTCATTTTTAATATAAATGAATATATATTTCCTGCTAAGCTCTTGCTTTGCCTTACCTTGTTGGAATATAATAAAATTAATTACAGCAACAGATCATTTATTGCATATTTATGCCATGCCTCTTATATATGAGTCATGCGTTTTATTTTGTAGAAGATAATATATCAGAGAAACATCAATGCAACTTGCAACTTAATTGGCCTATGTCGTGTAAACTTATGGTAATTTACAACAGTTTATATTTCTGTTATCGTTGCACGTTGAGTAGAGCATTTTCGTAGAATAAGAAGAAGACTATAAACAACAATCGGTTAATATCCCAGCAAACGATTCAATTGTCTTTCTGAATTTGGTTTATGAAATGTTAGGAGTTCTTGAGTTCTTCCACAAAAGTTCGAAATGGCCAACAATGGATTCGACGAATGGGTAAGTTGGCATAATTTCCAAGATCTACCAACTCCCAATAACATGGAAATTCATTTTTCTTTTAGGGTGGCTACATGGAAGCCAAAATCACCAAGCTTGAAGAACAGTTCAGTGCCGCCAGTGATCCTTTTAGGCAATCCAATTTATTCAATGGCATATCCATATTTGTGAATGGTCTAACCAATCCTTCGTCGGACGAACTGAAACGTATAATGATGGTACATGGCGGGACCTATCATCATTATCAACGTTCACATACCACCTTCATTGTAGCATCCAATTTGCCCGATGTAAAAGTGCGCAATATGGACACAAGCAAAATTATAAGTCCACAATGGATTGTGGATTGTTTGAAGGAGAAACGAATACTGGACTACACCAAATATTTATTGTACACCAATCAGAAAACATCACAGCCGTCCATTAGTTTTGCGGTGAAAAAGAAAAAGGAAGAACCCGATATAAGTATTGTGGATCCGGGTGGTAGACAAGTCAGTAGTACGACAACGACAGAAGCTGTGGATGATTCATTAGAAGCTTCCGTAAATTTGTTTAATGCTTCAATTAGAAGGAATTTTGGTGCACAAAACAACCCACTGGAAACAAGTCACAGTGCTACTTTAAATACAACAACAAAATTAAATAAGACATCAGCCAATTCTTCGGGTGTAGCTCGTACTGCAGTTGATCCAAAATTTCTATCGGAATTCTTTAATAATTCTCGTTTACATCATATTGCAACTTTGGGTGCTGGTTTTAAGCAATACATCAGTGATTTGCGTGACCAGAAGACCGATACAGAATTCCCGGCTAGAATGCAATTGAAACACAAATTAATGAAGAACAATGTTCCAGAAATAGAGATCTTTAAAGAGGGTTCTCCAAAATCGTATATAATGCACATTGATATGGATTGCTTTTTCGTCTCAGTGGGCTTAAGGAACAATCCACATCTTCGTGGCCAGCCAGTGGCTGTGACACATTCGAAGGGTATGATATTCAAATGAATATTTAAATAAACAGTTTCAAACATTGTTTTCATAGGAGGATCTGCTGCCGCTGAAGTCCCTGTCCATCCCAATGCTGATCGTAAAGTAGAAATGGAATTATTTGCCAAACGTTTTGAACAACAATTACACAATAATGTGCTGTCGGATAAAGTTCGTGGTGGTTTTGAAAATAAAATGTCATTATCGGAAATTGCTTCAGCTTCATACGAAGCTCGTGCCAAAGGCATTCATAATGGCATGTTTGTGGGCCAGGCATTGAAGTTGTGTCCTGAATTGAAAACTTTACCATATGATTTTGAGGGCTATCGAGAAGTGGCTTTTACTCTTTATAATACCATTGCCCAATATACATTGAATATTGAGGCTGTGAGTTGTGATGAAATGTTTGTAGATTTAACAGATGTATTATCCGAACTAAAGGTAGATGTTATGGATTTTGTAAATGCAATACGTGATGAAATCAAAACGAAGACTCAGTGTCCTTGCTCAGCAGGAGTTGGTGCAAATAAGTAAGTACTGTTACATGAATATTGTTGTTGTTGTAGCAGCCCTATTGTTTTGGTTTCAAAAACTTTAGTATCTAAGGCCCTTCATTTGTAATAACCAACTAATTCCTAGAAATTTAATTAGAATTTTGAAGTGATTGTGTTTCTTGTTACGAAGTCTATAAATACATTTGTGTCTTTTAGATTGCAGGCTCGCATGGCTACCAAAAAAGCCAAACCTGATGGTCAATTCTTTCTACAAAGTGAAAATGTCGAATCGTATATGGCTGAGATACCTATAAAAGAGTTACCAGGTGTTGGCAGCAGTACGACGTATACCCTAAAGGATGCCAATTTGGTAACGTGTGGAGATTTGCAAAAAGTTTCACTGGTGCGCATACAAGTGTTGGTGGGAAAGAAATTCGGCGAAACACTGTACCAATTCTGCAGAGGTCAAGATCAACGAGGTCTGACTTATGGTCAAATAAGAAAATCGGTTTCGGCTGAAGTTAATTATGGTATCCGCTTCAAAACATACGATGAGCTGGAAACATTCCTGAAGCAACTTTGTGAAGAGGTACATCAACGGCTGTTGAATATCAAAAGAAAAACAAAATGTATTACACTGAAATTAATGGTACGTGCTAAAGAGGCACCCGTTGAGACCTCCAAATTTATGGGTCATGGTGTTTGTGACCATATAACTAAATCAGTATCATTATCAGAATATTGTGATGATTTGAATATAATAACCAGGAATATACTCAATACAATGAAAGCACTGGATTTGCCACCACATGAGTTGAGAGGAATTGGCATACAACTTTCGAAATTAGATGAGCCCAATAGCGAACCAGAGAAACCAAAAGAAAATCGTATAATGAATATGTTTTCCAAAGTAAAAGAAAAGCAAAAGGACAAACCAAAGGAAGTGGCAACATCGAATGAAACAATTCGGATAATTCAGGAAGTCCCTAAAGTAGTGGCGTCCACAAATGAAACATCCTCCGTAGAAGCAAACAAACCAAAAGAAAATGCCATCAAAGCAATGTTCAGCAAGGTCAAAGAAAAACCCAAAGTGGAGCGTAAAGAACCACCTACCAATCCAATAGAAGTTAAAAAGAGTCCGGAAAATAAAAGGCCTACCACATCGAGAAGGGGACGTGGCAAAACAACGGTTAGCACAAAGGATGTTAAAACAAAACAAACGAAACAAAGCGTAATGGGGTTATTACAAAATGCTGCAGCGAAAAGAAAACAAGATGATACCGAGTTTCAAATGCCTTCTGATATCGATTTAGAAGTGTTTAATGCTTTGCCTCCCGATATACAAAATGAAATCTTAAGTGAACGTAGAAGACAGAAACATGTAATTGTAGAGCCACCACCACCACCTCCAGCTAAAAAGGAAAAACCTCAAACGAATTCCAACAATATAAGTATGCTAAACGAAAGTGATTTTCTACCCTCTACATCGAGGGCTGCCCAGCAGAAACAAGAAAGAAAAATTGCAATGAAAAATCAAAAGAAATTGAATACCGAAACTACAGCTACTTTAAATTCAGCAGCAAATGTACCCTTTACAGAAGTTGATCCAGAATTTTTAGCTGCTTTACCACCAGATTTACGTATGGAAATTGAACAACAATTGCAGCAACAAAAACAAGTTAATGATCCCGATCAGAGTTATCGTCCTTTAACACCACCGCCTGTAGCGAACAATGAGTGCACAAATGAAAATAACAATAATAATACCAACAACAATACCTGCATAAGTTCGGAAAATATTTTTATGCAACCTAAATGTTTGGAAAAGTTCTTGGCCTGGTTTCAAAGTGCAGACACACCTGAAAGCTGTGATATCGAAATAATTTGTGAAAATGCATGCGAATTGGTTAGGGCCAAAGAATTAAATGAACTATATGAGGTGTTATTGTATTTTGGACGTTTGATTAATCAGCAAAGATCCACAAGTCAATATTGTGCATGGCACATGGCTTTCAGAACAGTTTTGGAATCAGTACAAAAGGAAATGTCCGATGTTTATGAGGGAAAGAAACTATATATGGGTGTAAAATTGAAATGTGATAAATGTAAAATATAAAACATTTTGTTTTTGTTAATAAATAGAATTTTTGTTTTATTGTTTAATAGTTTGTTTATATATACATAGCTGATTTTGAGATTACTTCAATGGTAAACGGTAATGCTAATGTGTTGATTTTGAAGTATTGTCATCTAATTTTGAAAAGTCCTGGAACAGAACATCGGAGCATTATGGTCATATGCTAACCGCCTTCTATGCCTGCTATTTAAGAAAACACTTAAAGGTCGTTTACATTGAATCGGATTTGGTTAATCCACTGGGTTTAAATTCTCAATTCCTTTCAATATATTTCAAATAAATCCTCATAAATAGGTTAACCAGGTAAAAAGTTCTAATGTAAATGCCGTATTAGAGAATGTGTGGTTTCAACAAGACGATGCCGAACAATTCGAGAGGATATGGCAAGATACATTTCCTAGCCTAATAATTTACATATCTGTTATCACAAGAAGGATGGGATCTACTCAAATATCTGTAATATAAAAAATAAATTTTAAAATATTAATTAAAAGAGAAAAAACAAATATAAACATAAATATAATTAAACAGGATGGGGTCTACTCAAATCTATGTTACAGGGAATATTAGTTCCGTTCCAGAACCTAAAAGAATCTACTCATTTTACATGTTTTGCAACTTTTTACTCGAAAACCGTTCCTCAACCCACAAAACTGGTAAAACATTGAATCAAATATAAGAGAGCACAAAGCAAAATGGCTTTCTCTTTGTAAACTTTTTACTCGTGAAATTTGGCCGAGTAAAAATGGTAAACAGGAATGCCTACTTCTGATTGGCTGTTAAACGGCATATACATTTACCGGGTTAACCTACTTTATGAGGATTTATTTGACATGTATGCAAAGGAATTGACAATTGAAACCCACTGGGTTAATGAAATCCGATTAAATGTAAATGTACTATTATGTTGATTTTGAAGTATTTCCATCTAATTTTGGCATATTTACTAGATTTGTTTGTACTCTGAGAGTAATTTTGAAATGTTTCCCTTTTACTGGATTTACTATTAAAAAGTACTGGCACGGACCAATTATTCATTTTGGTTTAAACAAATGGAGAATGTCTACTCTCGCCGTGTCAGAATTAGACATTTGCAATTTTTAATGTTCATTGGAACTACTCGTAGTACTACTAAGTTCGTTGGAGGACACATCTTCACGTTCAGTCAAAGTTCAGTCTGTAATCAGCCGAACTTAAAAGTAATACTAGTTCACTTGCTCTTTTCTGTGAATAAGTCAATTGAACTCCCTGTAGGTAGTTCTACAAAAAATCATAAACAAAACATAAAAATATAAATAATAGTAATTAAAGCTGAATGGAGAGGATCCCGGTGTGATAATATTCTCCTTGCAATCCATTCCATTTGGATTTTTTAAGTAACTGCCTTTTGAGAACTGAAAAAGGTAATTTCGAGTTAAACGGAAGTAATGTCTTTGTCTTGCAAAAAATAACATGCAGTGAAAGAAATGAAGTTGCATCAAAAGATACGCTTACAGAAAAAATAATAAAGAAAAACTACATTAAAAACAATAGTGATTCAGATATTGCAATTTCCTGAATTACAAGTACAAAATGTTCGGCATTAGGAAACGACTAATGGGGAAATTCATGTCAAGTATTTCAAGCCTGTGCAATAGAGGGTGTGGGTGCGTAAACTCTTACCATTTATCAACAAAATATTTATACTACTACGTTAAAGTTTTAGTCTGCTTCAAAAAAACATTAATTTTAAGAAATTTAGTTTTTTTTTTGTATTTATGAACTCAATATACATATTATTTTTATATATTCATTCTGCTGTCTGACCCAAAAGATTAAACTGTGGTGTGGTTTTTTCATTTTTTTTATAAAATGTGTAGCATACTTTTAGGCTTATCTAAAGGATATACTATGTATTAAGCCATCATTTTAGTATGTATGATATTCAATAGGCTTTGTTAAATGTCACATGAAGTGATATCGCCAGGTTTAAGCTATTTTGAAAACATTTTGAAACGTTAGTCTTCGTTAAGTCATATTTACGTTTTAATCTGTATTTTGGCATTTTTTGGCGGTGTACCTGGCAATATCAAAAGGAATGCATTGCCTGAATGATTCCGTAAGGTTACCGTTAAGATACATTTCATATGGTGTGTGCGAGAAAATTAGTAGCATCTGGCGAATGTCCATAGTAGTAGGATGCTGTATTAGCCATTTGGACTGTGTTTTTACGCATTTAGTACGAGAGAAATTGAAACCCCTGTTGGAATTACTGCAGGCCATTTAATACCTTTAATTTGTTGCGCCTTCTACCTTTCCACTCTCGTCCCACGTCTTGTAATTCTCTAACTATCAATTCTCGTGTACAAACAGTAAGCATGGTTTGTAATTTTCATTTGAAAAATATTTGTATGTACATATCCTTTGTCTTTGTCTAATTTGTGTACCAAAAAAACTACTGGCAGAAATTATTTCAATTTAATTGATATAATTTTGTACTGCCTGAAACATTTCCCACAATTAAAATAAAAAGTGCCCTAATTTCTTTTAATTTTTTCCCTATTGTCAACAGCAAATATCAACTTCATATATAACTGCAAAACAAACAAAAATCAAAAAACCCTTTTTAATTCGAAAACAAAAAACAATTCAATTGGAAAATGTCCAGCAATTCTGAAGATGGATGTCGTAAGAAAATTCCACGCATTATGACATTTCGTCCAAGCTATGAAGAATTTAAAAACTTCTCAGCATATATCGATTACATAGAATCTAGGGGTGCCCACTTGGGAGGTATTGCCAAGATTATACCGCCACCCGAATGGAAACCACGATCAGAGGGTTATGATATTGATAATATCAATATGACAATACCCGCTCCAATATCGCAAGTTGTTTCGGGCAAACAAGGAGAATATCAACAAATTAATGTTTTGAAAAAATCAATGACATTGCGACAATTTAAAGAACTGGCCGAATCGGAACGACATCAAACCCCTAAACATTTTGATTATGATGATCTCGAAAGAAAATATTGGAAAAATGTGACATACATTGCACCAATGTATGCTGCCGATGTTAAGGGTTCTCTAAGTGATCCAGATCTTGATGTGTGGAATATTGACCGCTTGGAAACGATATTGGATTATGTCAACAAGGACTATGGCATTGAGATTGATGGTGTCAATACAGCCTATTTATATTTTGGTATGTGGAAAAGTTCATTTGCATGGCACACAGAAGATATGGATTTGTATTCAATAAATTATCTACATTTTGGTGCGCCCAAAACATGGTACGCCATACCACCGGCCTATGGACGTCAATTGGAGAAATTGGCCAATCGTATTTTTTACGAAAACTATCAGAACTGTAATGCCCATCTACGGCATAAAATGACATTGATTAGTCCGCAGGTGTTGAAGCAAAATAAAATACCCTACAATCGTATTACCCAGGAGGCTGGGGAAATAATGATAACCTTTCCCTACGGTTATCATGCTGGCTTTAATCATGGTTTTAATGGAGCCGAGTCTACAAATTTTGCGTCAAAACGTTGGATTGAATATGGCAAAAGAGCATCAATCTGTCATTGCCGCAAGGATATGGTGAAAATATCAATGGAAACCTTTGTGAAACGTTTTCAGCCGGAACGTTATGATAATTGGTTGAGAGGTGTAGATTATGGTTGTCATCCAGAGGAACCGGACAAAATTTGTGCCGCGCCACCACCCACCATCAACAAGTATACATATTTAAAGAGAAAATCCTCTGAATGTTCAGAAGGTTCACAACAAAAACGTGGTTGTTCTCTGGCTTTACGTGATGACACTACAAATTCGAATAATTTGGAAATGGAAAACTCACTCGATGGTGGTCTGTACGTTGAACAGAATTTGTTGAAGAAAGTCCCTACCTTAAAACTGCATAAAATCAATGTAGATTCTAAAGATTCATCACAAAATAGTGGTAGTGGTGATGTTACCTCAAAATCTGTTGACTACAATGCCACCGTGGCTGTGCAAATTCAACGCATATGGAATGCGTTGCCATGTCCGACAGTTGGAAAAAATCTTCTCACTAATGGTATTATTAAAAATACCAAACGTATGCGTTTTCAAACTAAGACCATACTATTAGATGATGAAGATTAGTTTGAATACGTGGTGGGTTGCGATTTTTTTTGTTATATATTTGTGTGAATTAATTAATGTTATTTTCTTTAAAATATATGAACTTTATTTTGATATATTATTAAAATAAATGTTGAGAAAAAATTTAAATTTAAATTTTCTTTTTTTTCAAATACATAATACAGATGAAGCAAGAAGGCAGAGTAATGGAAAACAATTTGCAAAGAAAAAACAACTCATTGCGTATCGAATCTAAATTATTAAACGTATTATTCTCTATTATGACATAATCAGTCTCAAATCTTTAAAATTAAGGTATATTAGGCTAAAAGTGTTCATTTTCATTAAATGTTTCCTTCCATTCAATTCTACACTTATCACAGCCCTTAATTTCTTTTTAACTAAATTTTTTAAAACATTTTTTAAAATTCTGCCAAAAGTAGAAGTTTCTAAAGAATAATTTTAATGGACTATCACAAATGTGGATTTTTTCAAAAATGTTTTTAATGCCTATTACGGCGATCATGCGTGGATTTTCAAAAGTCTTCTTACATACATGGATTTTTAAACGCCTGTAAAAAAGGGTGGAATTGCTTAAAAATAATTAAAAGAATTAACAAATAAAAGGGTATTTTTAAGCTTGTATTTGTTTAAATCTTTAATTCTTAGAGTTTGTTAGAAGAGTTTCAGAGTTTTTAAAAAGAATGATTTTAAAGTCTGTTGAAAGTGTGGACTTAAAACCCCCAAACTGTATTTGTCTGAATAAAAATGTTAATATGTTCAATGGGATTTTATTTGAATATTGTTTATATATTTTTAAAATGCAGACACTAAAATCTTCTTAATGGGTATGCCATTCCAGAAGAGACATTTAATTAAAAAATATGTTTTCAACACTTGTTATCTTGAAACAAGAGAAACTAAATTTACATTTCACTTTAAAAAGAGGAAAAGAAAAGAAACACAGAAAAGAGTAAAAGAAAAACAAAAATTAAAAAAAAAGACGTTAACAAGCAACCGGCCGTGTTAGAGTATCTATCTCTTTGATTGTTAGCATTTAGTTGTTGGTGGTATCCATCGTATGCCAATATAAAACCAAAAAAGAGAAGACAAAAGAAAAAAAAACAACCTATTCATGTCTAAAAATAATTGTTGAATTTTTTAAGCTTTGATTTTACTTTGTTTGGTTTTTGTATTTCAGTCGTGTGCTGGCATTGTTTACGGTCGGCCAGTATTTTTTCCCCCACAGCCTTGTGTTTAAGTGCCTGCGTCAACAATACAAGTGAACAATAAGAGCAACACAAAAACAACAACGAATTAGTTTAGGTCATCCATCTACCACATCCTTTGGACTGTTTTCAATCTATACAACAATGAAAGTTTTAATAAGTCTAACTAGTCTATTGCTGGCAATAAATTTTGGCATTTCATATGGATCACCCGAGGAGTAAGTATGAAGTACATTTAGAAATAGACTAATATTAAGTAATTTGCTTTTCATTATGAGCTTTTTAAAAATTTTTATAGAAGTGCATCAACAAAAAATTGGCATTATAATGTAACTGGCTGACCTTTCACAATAATTAGATTTTTATTTGTATTATTGATTTATTTTGTAATCCCTTGATTACCAAGTGCAATGTCATTGACCGTGTGTGCGCGTGCATACATACATATTTATGTTTGTAATATCAAGTGAAACTAGTCGGCAAACTACAACCATACCCAAAGTGATGTAATTCATTTAATATCATTGCATATTCAGTTTATTGGAAATCATTACAAGTATCAGTTCACTTTCAAAACACACACACCCACACTCTCTCAAAATCCCTCCCTCTAAGTGTGCAAAATGTTTGTGAATTTCTTTTATTTAAATCTGAATTTGATATTGTGTTTTATATCTTGCCAGTAAGTCATTGAATCTTTTTTTTTTTTAATTTCACACCACCCACACGCTCAATTTTGAACATCTCCATAAACTTATAATTGATTTCATTTCTCTTCGTAAGGTAAAATCAACTCATTTTGAAACTGATGGTTATATTATAATATATACGACGATCGTTGTTCAGTGTTTGTATCCTATATACTTGTTTTGTTGTTGTGGACATATGTATTTATGTATGTGCATGCGTTTGTACTTTCTATTCATTATTTTTAAAGTGTTTTCTTTTGTTTTGTGAATAATAATGTAGGGAATAGAAGGTAGAATAGAATACTTTTCCAACACTTAACATGGAGCATGCGCAACAGCCGATTGACAAGTTCATTTGAAATTATGGGGTCAACGTCTTTTGTTTCTTCCACTGCTGCATATTAATATAATAAGCAAAGTCACGAGGGTCAAGAATTACAAGATATGATAACTTTTCCTATAGGAATCTCCAACCCGAATAAGAAATGTTTACGGCTGAGTATCTTTCAAGAATAGATTTTACTGAAGAATATATTTTTAATAACATTACATGTGTGTGGATATTTTTAATGTTTTAAAGTTACAGCCACATATTCAAAAAAAAAAAAAAGGGACTGCGGTATGTCAAATTGAGCTAGCATTCTATATAATATATGTTCACTTCGGAAGGACATAGTCCGGAAATGTTGCCACTATATCTATAAAAATATATATGGGCAATATTGCCAATTTTTTAATATTCCATTTTCAAAAAATCCGCTTTTTTGTTTTTGTGGCACATCAATGATTTTTGGTATACATATAGAGAAAAATATTCTGACTCCGAAACCGTTCGCGATCAAATTTTTGGTTGATGCACGCAAAAGTTATCGAGGTTTTAATTTTGGGCATAAGAAAAAAATCTTAAAATTACGCCGTTTATTATATTGACCAAAAACGTTGATATATATCTTCCTCCGTAAAATAAGAGTATGAATGTATTATAACAATCACAATAAAGTTGCACATATTCGCGAAATATAAGAAAAATAAAAAAATATAGCAGATTACATCGATATTTTCATTATGTTAATGACATACACACACCTAAAAATTAATTTAAAAATATCTACATAATCTAAACACCATGATGAATCAAATGATATCGAAATCACACAAGTCCATGTAGCGGTTTCTAAATCACAGCGACAACAAAACAAGATATTGAGGAAAAATATTTGTTTTTGGTTCGAAAAAATAATGTCATCATATTTATTTTTTTAATTGTATACAAGAAATTTCAGAAAAAAATGTTGGGGTTATTCTGCTATTTTACCCGAATTTCGCCGAAAAAATGACATATATAATAATAATCACTTTTTGTGTATAAGTATACGCCTTCCGGATTATATCAAGACCCTTCCGATAAATCTTAGAATTCTATAAATAGGAATAAATCTTAAAATAAAAAAATATTATGAAATATACATTTTAAATTGCGTGTAAATCGCGTAATTCTCAAAATCATTTGATGCGCATGCGGTTTCCAGGAAGTACTGAAGTTTATCTTCCAATCCATATATATTTTGCGAAATTTCATTTGACGGCTAAGATGTGCCACACGTTACATTGAAGTACCCAAAGTATATCGGGAAGATATATATGGGAGCGTAAAACGCGAATAATTTCCGAAAACTCCATATGTCATTAACGCGCATCCGATTTCGGTGTGCACCCTAAAAAAATATATCGATCTATACCGATTTCAATGTGGTCCATTAAGAACCATGGATGTGCCAGCTCACACTATTTTTGAGATAAATTGCGTCTAAATCGCGTAATTCTCAAAATCATTTGATGCGCATGCGGTTTCCAGGAAGTACTGAAGTTTATCTTCCAATCCATACATATTTTGCGAAATTTCATTTGACGGCTAAGATGTGCCGCACGTTACATCGAAGTACCCAAAAAATCTTAAAACGCGAATAATTTCCGAAAACACCATATGCCATTAACGCGCATCCGATTTCGGTGTGCACCCTAAAAAAATACATCGATCTATACCGATTTCAATGTGGTCCATTAAGAACCATGGATGTGCCAGCAAAATCTATTTTTGAGATAAATTGCGTACATCTCTCTTTCGGCTGAAGTTTTTAAAGTTCTCTTTTCGAGAAAGATCAAAATCCGCATGAGGTCATTTATTGAAGCGGAAACGAAACACAGAAAACGCAAATAAATCCGCGATATTTTCAAAAACATTTTTTGCCAAATTTCGTGTTTTTGGAAGGCCAGTTCCCGCCGTTCTAGTAGATGGATTTTCACGAAGAAGATTTTATATCATCCGAAAAGTAAAAAACCTTTATGATCGCGGGTACCCATATCATTCAGTTGACAGATCTAAAAATTTGGCCCGAAAAATAGGTTTTTTAGAAATTTGATCGCACAAAATTCACACCTTCGGATGAGTATTACTCTGAAGCTGTGCATACTACATACACAAAATACATATCAAATTACGCAGATTCGCGACTACAATAATCTTATAATCGATTTTTATAACTTCCTGTTTGCGTATTAAAGCTAGAAGTAAAATTAAAAAAACACTCAAAATCGAGCTTCAAAATGTCAGCATCATTTAAAGGTAGATGCAGTGAACATTTTGAAAAATGATACATAAGGGGCGTAGTCCCCATTTTGTTGGCTTCTAGTTTTATTTTGACACGAAGACCGTGCAATGACTGGCGTAGTCACAAATCGATAGAGAACATAAAAAAACTGGTTCGCCTCAACGTGTTTTTACACACTTTTTTACATTAAAGTAGACACAGCTTCCACCAAAATAAAGTTTGGAGGTCAATATCATGAACAGTTTGCAACGACAGATCAATTAACCCAAAACTATTCACTTTTGTTCATATACTTAAGTAGTTCCCGAGTTATAAAGGGGTGAACCTCCGCTTCAGCTATGTTAAAAAATTGGCAATATTGCCCATATATGTTTAGTAGCGAAACTTCGCATAGACTCGGAAATTAGCTACGCGGAAAGTTAAAGTCCAGTGGTAGGCCTCTTTTTTTTCTTTTGAGTATAAAGTCTTGTTGTAGGGTATAACAAATTCGATCCGATCTGAATTCTTGCCGCCTTTGTTTTGTTCTCATCCTACTATCTGAAGTGTTTAGTACTTTTAGGTCATTCAGATAAAATAACAAACTTCAAGTGCATTTTTTTAAGAAAAAAATCTTATCAGTGTTTTCAATGTTGGACTCTCCGTTTTTGAATTTTTTTACATTGAAATTTCTATCATCCATCATGATATGTCGTTTGATTCACTATCAGTTGAAAAATGTTTTAACTATAATTCGAAATGTAGAATTACTGCTAATATGCGTGATGAATTTGATATGGCTATAAGTTTGACCGAAATATATTTCTACATAGGACATGCCTGTCGATTTTTTATGTTTGAAACGATCCTTACAACAAATTTCACAATTCAATTCTTGTATTTTAACCCCAGCTTGTTCCCTAATGCCAAATTTGATTTCCACATCTATTCGTTCGACCAAAAATTTAAACTGGTATCCATATCCTAATTCTACCCAACAAAAGTCATACATATGCCAAAGTTAAAAATTAAAGGTCTATTTTTTCTTTTCATATCCATTCAGAACATAACTTTTTATTATGAAGTTCGCAAATTCGTATATGTATACTTTTTGATTATAAACCACACATTAGATTATTTTTTCGAAACTATTTACAATTGGTATTCAAATTTTGCATCAATACAATTTTCCTCTTTTTCAGTCTGATTTATGGTTATGTCTGCCGCCAAGGAAAATGCCTTAAAGAAGAATTATCGGAAAAGAATTGGAATACAGCCATCAGTTTACCGGTATGTCGAATGTTTTGTGGCGATACAATCGGTACACTATGGCCCAAACCAAGTGGCCTTGTAGATATGGAAAATATGCTATTGCATATCAGTAAGGATATCATTGAATTTAATGTGCCTTCATATACAAAACAAGCTAAGCTATGGGATGCAAATCGGGAACGTTTTATGGACATTCTAAATAATAAGGTACCGAATCATGAAGTATTGCGTAAGGAGGGACATCCTGTGACAATTACGATTGAATTGAATGATAAGAATAAGGCTAATGAGGAAGTACCACGTCTGACTTTGGATACCGATGAAAGTTATAAATTAGACATTACCACAATGGATAAAACAAAGGTGGAGGTTAAAATTACCGCAGATAATTATTTTGGTGCCCGCCACGCTCTGGAGACATTGAGTCAATTGATTGTGTACGATGATATTAGACGTGAATTGCAAATGTTGGCCAAGGCAAGCATTGAAGATGGACCGGCATTTAAATGGCGTGGTTTGTTGTTGGATACTTCAAGGAATTTCTATACCACCAAGGCCATTAAGAGGACATTGGGTAAGTAAACAAACACAATGTTTATGAATAATATAATAAATAATACCTTTTTTATTATTTGTTTATAGATGCCATGGCCATGGTCAAGCTCAATACATTCCATTGGCACATTACCGATTCACATAGTTTCCCCTTGGAAGTGAAATCCCGCCCAGAATTATATAAACTCGGTGCCTACTCGCCCCGCAAAGTCTACAGCCATGAAGATATAGCCGAGATTGTTGAATATGGTCGTGTACGAGGTATTCGAGTTATGCCTGAGTTTGACGCTCCCGCCCATGTGGGTGAGGGTTGGCAGCATAAAAACATGACCGCTTGCTTTAATGCCCAACCATGGAAAGATTACTGTGTTGAACCACCATGTGGTCAATTGGATCCCACTGTAGATGAAATGTATTCGGTTTTGGAAGATATTTATCGGGAAATGTTCGATCTCTTTAAGCCAGATGTATTCCACATGGGCGGTGATGAAGTTTCCGTCAGTTGTTGGAATAGCAGTGAACAAATACGAACATGGATGACATCAAAACAAGGTTGGGGTTTGCAGGAGAGTGATTTTATACGTTTGTGGGGTCATTTCCAAACACAAGCTTTAAATCGTGTTGACAAAGTTGCCGGAGAAAAGGTGCCCATTACCTTGTGGACCAGTCATTTAACTGATGTCCCCTATTTGGATGATTATTTGGATAAAGAACGTTATATTATACAAATCTGGACCACCGGTATGGATCCTAAAGTCACGGATATTCTTAAAAGAGGTTTCCGTGTTATTGTCTCCAATTATGATGCTCTCTATTTTGATTGTGGTGGTGCCGGTTGGGTTACGGATGGCAATAACTGGTGTTCTCCCTATATTGGCTGGCAAAAGGTCTATGAAAATCGTATGGAAAAAATTGCCGGTGATTATGTGCCACTCGTTATGGGTGCCGAAGCAGCCATATGGTCAGAACAAATCGATGAACACACTTTGGATCAAAGGTTCTGGCCACGTGCCAGTGCCATGGCTGAACGTTTATGGACCAATAGCAAAGATTCATGGCGTCAGGCTGAACCTCGTATGTTGGTACATCGTGAACGTTTGGTGGAAAATGGTATTGCTGCTGAAGCTCTACAACCTGAATGGTGTTTACAAAATCAAAATGAATGTCCCATTGATGCCTATACGACCCTCAAGAGAGCATAAACGATAAGCAGAAGAAGTGGAGACATTTTGATCTAATCAAAATTCGAGTATTCTTGATATTGTTTGCAATATTATTGATATTTATTTGTATTATAATTATGATTGGCCGTATATGTTCATGGAAACGAAAATTATTTAAAGCAACATCTGTTGAATTAATGCAAATATGCGTTATATGAATATGTTTTGAATTAACATAATTGAAATATTAAAAAGAAAAACTTTATTGAATTAATACGTTAGTATGGATATTTGTATTTTATAAATGAAATGTTAATTCCAATATGTTGTAAGTTGTACTAACAAACAAACCTTTTGAGATAGTGGACCTATAGAATACTTATTGAAGGTCTTCTATGTAAAGACGACCTATAGGTGGTATTTTATATCTAGTATATCCATTGAAGGTCTTCTACAGATGTTCTATTGAAGGTCTTTCATAGATGTTGTTATATGTATAGAAGACCTATCAAAGGGTCTTCCATGTTTATAAGGTTTTCTAGTTTTAGACGGCCCATGTATTGTATTGACAACCTATAGAATACCTTCTACATAAAATACTTATATGCATTATTTTTATAAAGGTTTTCTGAGTTTATATTTAAAATAGGTCTCTATATTTAAAGGACGTTAACTGTTTGGTGTTCTAAGGTATTCTAAAAATCTTCTATTAGGGAGAGGACCATTTTAATACTTTTAAAATGTATCACATAGGGGAAAATCCAAACGAAATAGCTGTTATTAAACATTTCCCATTCTTGGAGGATGAAGAAATTATTTGCAGCACTCTTTCCATTTATTTCATGGATCTAGGTCATTTTCCAACCAAAGTGGCTGTAATTTGGTATTCTGTATATTTGGTGGGCGCAAAACTTTTTTGTCAATAAAAGTCCATATTTTGATGGACTTTGAAGCATTTTCCATCCGAAGTGTCTACAATTTATTATTCAGTGTTATTTGTGGTATTTCGAATGTTCATAGTCCTTACGTCTGTCCGTCTGTTGAGAATTAAAAAGGAATAAGAAGATTTTACTTGTTTTAATAGAGAATTTTCGTCCATAAAATATCTACGATAATTTATTCTCTTGATGACAGATTTTTCCCAGTGTATCTTAATATATTTATTTTTAATTGTCATACAATTGGCTACTTCATGTTCGATTTGTTCACTTCCTTTAGCGTCAAGCAAGAACAAACTCACTGTAATGTGGACACAGAGAAGAAACATGTGTTCCGCCCCATTAAAAAGTGCAAATTATTAGTTGATAGTTCCGCCAGGTGCGAAGCTAAACCTACAACTATTTGTCTTTTTTTATAAAATGGAATGGAATAAGAGAACAAATTCCCAGCATTTGTGGCCAACCCATGTGGTACGCAGCATATACATCTCTTATTATGGAAAAAGGCGATGTTCGTTTTAAAACAAGTTAGATCAGTTGCCCACTGAGATTTTACCATGTCCCTTTTGGAAATTATGCGTAGAACGACAAACACCTATAACCTTCATTTGGGTCAAGCTCACTTTGAGCACACATGTCCATGTGTGCATGTGCGTGTGTGTGTGTATTTTATTACACATATAAAGTTATCATCATTGGCTTTGCCATTAATTTAACCCGCCCTATTGGAGACTATTAATTATTATCAACGGTTGACTGGCAGGTTTTCTGTTTCCCTTCTTTTGTTTAAAGGGGGAAAATCCTGTCTTGCCTTTTGAGTAATTTTATGAATTTTTATTATTCATTTGTAATTAATTCACTATTTCTAGAAAAACACAGTTCTAGCACACCTGCCAGAAATGCCCTCAGTCATGGGATGCGTAAGGCTGTTCTTCGTCTGTGATTTTTGCATTTTTTGTTCTGGTTTCTGTGGGATTTTTAAATATTGTTCTTATCGTTATTGATGAACATGTATGGAAAAGGGGGATTAGTTGTTGTAGTTGTTCGTTTATGATGTTGTGAGCTCTGCAGGGTTATAAAAAAGAAGTTCGTTGAAATGCTTTGCAATTTGTAACAAGGTAATTAGTTTTAAGATCAAGTGCAGATTAGGTTATGTTGGTTGTTATGCATAAACATTGGGGGTCGTAGGAAGTGGTTATAGTTTTTTTTTTTTATAAATCTTGGTAAATCCTTTATTCAATAAGAAGGAAAAGCTAAAAAAGCGTTTGTCTTCCCCTCACATCACATATTTTTATATTCCCTCCATGAGGTGAAATGGATATTAAATGTATTTCCATTTGCAACACCTGGAAATGTTCGTCGTAGGGAACGACAGATTAAAATTCGTTTTTAATTTGGCGAAGTCCCTCTCTATGTCTATCATCTGAAATCACGATAGATATGTTTAATATTAAGGCTAAAGCTATGAAATTTTGTACATAGATTGCTACTACTTCTAAAATGTTGTATATTGAAATATCGATTGATATATCGATCGGTACGTTTTAAACGATTTTGTTTTCAATTTGTAATTTTACATTTTGGATTCATAGAGGATGAAAAACATCTTCACAGAAATTTGTGCATATATACAATTTTTTACAATTGGTCCTAGCCCATTTTTGATATGTTTAAGGTTCATCGAAGTCCAACTTATCAACCTATCAACTTCTATGTGATTATAATTATTGTAGAATATACATATATTTATTTTCTACTTCTTGTAATTGTGTTGGCTGCGACAAGTGTAGCCGCCGTTGATATTTACATAAATAATGCCAATTTTTAAGATTTCTCATAAACTATTTAATTACCGGTTGCATTTCGCCATTACTAAGCGATGTGTAACAAGGCTTCTGTTCTGAACACTTTGTGTGTTGCGACATGGTAGTGTGAAGATTCCAGTTTTAGCAGGATACATAAGGTGTGTTGGACAATAACGTTGATGAGGCTGCTGACGATCAGGCAATGGGTATGATTCTGAAACATGTATTGACAGGATGTCACATTATTAAATAATGACTTTGAGGGTAGAGATAAGAATCGGTCTGTTTTAGTAGAGCGTGAGATTTCTTTTCTGGTGCTATTTTAAACTGATCTCATTATAAGGAGGGCAGATGATAATTTATTTCCATACTGGTCATACATGTTGTATGGAATACACAGAGAAAAAATTTTGAATTTAGTTGATCCATTAAGTTTTAAAGTATAAAATTCGAAGTAAAAATATGTAGAAGATGCTAAAATATTTGGAAGATGCTATGCTATTTTATGGGTGTTGTTGGGGGTGATGGATACCAAGCAACGGCTCTGATTGGCTTTAACAGGCTTATTTTGGTCCCTCTTTCATTTCAATTGTGAACACTGACCTCCCCGCGGTGCCACCTGGGGTAGCTATTTTCATCACCCGTTGAAATAGTGAGCTAATATGTGCCGCGAGTTCACACATAAGAACTATAAAACATGGGTTGTGGCGTCGGGTTAGTTGCCCACTCTCGGAAAACCAAACCTACTATGAAAAAGCAAAGATAAAGAAAACCCCCATAACGTATAAAGGACCACGATCTGCACTTGGAATGTGCGGACGTTGTACGTTGGATGTACTCAAGAAGTACAAAGCCGATATTATTGGCTTACAGGAAATGCGATGGAAAGGGACTGGCGTATGTATTGTTACGTTCTTGGGTTTTACTAAATCCCGTGTAGACGTTGTTTTATTTCCCGATACTATTCGCACCAAATAAAACGCAGGTTCTTTCAGATTACGATTATTACAATGATTTTATTAACACAACTTTACTTTGCACTTTACTTTACACGACGGTTTCAATTCGCGATCTGATTCACAACTGACTCACTGCCTTTCCATTCCCTCTATTTATATGAGCCCTGCCTGTCGCTACAGAAGTTTCTAGACGATCTGGTAACACCTAGATCACGAACAATCTACCAATGCAACAAACACATTGAGTAACAATAACAACAACAAACTTACTGAGTGAACAATAACAACAACAAACTTGAGTAAACAAACTTACAATAACAACAACACATATACAGGCGAGGGAATAACAAAGAAAGAGGAATAACAACAACACATATACAGGCGAGGGAATAACAAAGAAAGAGGAATGACGTTTAACAAGAATTGTACGACAATAACAAAATAGAAAATGAAAGAGGAACTGGAAGGATGTAGAAAAATCTATACAGTGGTTGTTGTTGTGAAGTTATTCAAATAAACTGCGTAGTAGAAATTTACGTTACAATTCAAATTCTTAAATTAACGGAATTCATCTAAATTAACTTAAATCTAAAGTTATATTCGTAACATTGCCCCCCGCTTAAGCCTGTTCGTCCCGAATAGGCACAGTTCCCGTTCCGTAGGGGGTCAGCCGCTCCAAATGTACAACTTTCATCTTCGACCTGGGACTGTCGCTCCTCTGGATGCGATAAACGACGTCATTTATTTTCGTGACAATCTTGTAGGGTCCTTCCCAGTGCGTTTGCAATTTGGGGCATAGTCCTTTCTTTCGTTGTGGGTTGAACAATAGTACCAGTTGCCCTTCTTGAAACCCATCGGTATTTGCCGCTCGATCGTACCTTGCCTTCATGCGGTTGCTAACCATTTTTATTCGATGTCGGACTGCATCGTGGACTTTACTAAAAGAGTTTTGGCTGTCTTCATCTTGGTTCACATCGTCGTTTGGGGTAGCGCCGAATATCAAATCGCCAGGTAGCTTTAATTCATTTCCGAACAGAACTTTGGCTGGGGTCCGGGATGTGGAATCATGAATGGCCGATCTATAAGCCAATAAAAACTTTGGAATATGCTCATCCCAGTCTCGTTGGCCACTGTCCACCACTTTCCGTAGATGTTCTTCAAGGGTGCGATTGAATCTTTCCACCATGCCATCTGATTGTGGATGTAGGGGCGTCGTTCTGGTTTTCTTAATTCCGTAGGAGTCACACATTTCCTTGAAGATCGCTGATTCAAAATTCCTACCTTGATCGGAATGAACCTCAGATGGAACACCATAGCGACAAATCCAATTTTTGCTG